CCCTCAGTGTTGCCCCCATACCGGACCGGGGACCGGCAACGGGATCGCAAGCCTCGGTGCTGCTCCCGCGCCTCGCTCAGCCAGTGAGCAGGAACCGGTCTGCACGTGGGATCCGAACCCTCGGACGGGAGCGCCGCCGCGCTTCCCAAGCAGCGCACTATCCAGTGCGCCACCGGGCCGGCCCATAACTTAAAGTTACCTTAATAGACTAATCTATATCCCTTTGAGAAAAGATTAGGAGAATAGTTTATCCCCTTGAATTTTTAAATCTTAATTTCTGATTTTATTTTGAATAATTGGTAACCAGACATAAGAACTTTTCTAGAAATTTTATTCATCTCAAATTTCCTCATAGTAAATAGCTAATCTTAGAGAATGATAATTTATAGGGGTAGAGTGAGGTAGTATTTTATCCTCCTGAAAGTGCTCTTTCAGACCAGGTTATGGTCATCTCTTCTTCCCTTACTCATTTTGAAATATTTGTACTGCAAACTAGCTAGAATGTAATTCCTCTGAGAGTCTCTAAACTAAGTATTGGGATTACATAACCACATCTAATCTTTATAGGCATCATTTACTTGTTCACGAGAAATGGTAGATACGCACTGGGGATCTTGGTTTAAAAACAGTCTGAGGGGGCTGGCCAGTTAGCTTGTTGGGAGAGTGTGGTGCTGACAACACCAAGGTCAAGGGTTCGGATCCCCTTAATGGCCAGCCATCAAAAAAAAAAATGAATAAAATCAGTCTGCCAGTGTTTGTCAAACTTGAATGTGCATTGAAGTCACCAGGGATCTTGTTAAACTCCAGATTTGGGGGAGGGGAAAGGTGGAGGCCAGCTAGCCAGGACAGGGATTGAACCCTGCCTTTTGCTGTCATCAACACCATCCTCTAACGAACTGAGAACTAAACACCCAACCCTTAAACCCAAGATTCTGATCCAGTAGATTTGAGATTCTGCATTTCTAACAAGCTCCAGCTAATGTCCATGCTGCTGATTCACGGGCCATACTAAGTAGCAAGACTCTAATCTAGTCTGTGTTGTCTGCAAAATAAGAGGTTGATATGGATACATCTATCAGGGCCCTTCCTATTAAGAACTTTTATTTCACTATATTTTTGAGGTCATCTTAATTTCTGGGCTTTTGTTTCTTTTAATGGGTTATAATTTAAGCAACCTAACAAACTATGATATCTTTGTGATTAAGCACCATTTTTTTAATAGCCTAATATTTTATAGCAATGTGTTAGGATGGAAAGAGCAGAAGATTTAGTGTTAAACGTTCTAATTTCAAGGTCTGACTCACTATACCAGCCTTATGACACTTAGCAAACTACTTGAGCTTTCTAGTCTCATTTTATTCAGGTATGGCAGTAAGGATCATGATATGGTTTGTTACTGAATGATTTTGAGGGCTAAATGTTACAGTACAGTGTTTTGCTTCACCTCATGGGGGAAAAAAAACATTTACATCACAATCTGTGAGCGTAAGTTTGTATCTCAAAAATTTCTTAATATTTACTCTTAGTATAGGGTGTATACTCTGTCATATTTTTAGTCTATTCCTTTTCATTTTTTAAAAATTGCCATTCATAACCAATAGTTTGAAAAGCATTAATGTATGTGAGCAAGCACTTAAAACTTGCCATGTACATTACCATGTTAGCCAAGATTTGAAGTAGAGAATTAAAATGCTGTTAGTCATGTTTTCCAAATGCAGATTTTTACCTAGTCGGTTATTATGATTATAATAATCACGATAAACAAAAGAAAAAGACCAAAATCATAATAAATTGTTTATATTTTAAGTTTACTAACCCAGTGTATTAATTATTCAAAGGAAATAAGTGCTTAGTACATTTTGGCAACTTTAAGAGGCCTGTAGACAACCCTTTAACCAACAGTAGCATTAGTTTATAATACTTTCTTATAGTATGTTTGCTAGCAGTGGGAAACAACATTGAATAAAGTCATGGTTCTTACCGTTGATAAACTGAGGATTTGGCATTTCACAGACAAGTATAATGTGAATAAGTGTTGTTATAGGTATATGTTCAAAGTACTCTGGGGATAAAGCATGCTTAATTTTGTCTAGGTTTGAGGTAGGCTTCATAGGAGGTATCATTTAGCTATTAATATGAACTCTTTTATAGGTCGCATCTGATTTCTCAACTCCAACATCAAGAAGGAAAACCCTGTTTAACAAAGGTAGTATACTTGTTTCTTTTGTAGCCCAGTTCTAAGGTGGTCTGTTTAGATGTTCTTGAAGTTAATTGCTCTCAAGTGGAAAGACCTATCATTTACTTCCTTGTAGTTGTTTTTAATTTCATTAAAATTACTTTTAGAAATATATTAATCCTTTTTATTAAACTTCTCTTTACAGATTTAAGAGAAAACTCTAATATTGGAAAACTTTTCACTAATGCTATGGAATCTTTAGATGAAGAAGAGAAAGATAATTATTTTTCAGACTCTGATTCTGTGTAGAAAAAATGAGAAAGTATGATTTCCAGGACTTTTACCATAAAGCAGTCAGTGTATTTGTATCTTCATTTGAAGTACGTGTATTTTTATTGTAACGTAGCTTCATATGAAAATGTGGAGTCTATTTTCAAAGGTTTTATATATTTGTATTCCAAGTAAAATATCCTTCTATAGGATATTCCCTATTACTGCAGCTTACTAAAAATGTAAGGAAAATTGTTTTGCCTGTTGTGGGTATTTATAAGTTTCTGCTTTTACAGTATTAAAATATAGAGATAAATCTCATAAGCATCTAAGTCTGTTTAAGAAAATTAAGTCCAAAACATTTTTTAAAAAACTTTCATGAAAAAATTGCTATCTTTAAATGATGGGAAGTGGGATGAAAGAGTTTGTATTGGTGGCTACTGAATTCGTGAAAACTTTTAAGTTTGCATTTGTTATCACTTGGCATATAAGCCAGAGTTGATCTGATGTTTAAATTACACATTGTTGAAACTATTTGACATGCTTCTGACCTGATTGTTTTTCTTAAAACTTGTGATTGGAAACCTATTTTTTATAATTTATTGCTTTTTTACTATTTTATTAGGTAGAATCAGAACAAATTTTGTTACATTCTTACGCTTTATTTACATATGCAGACATGGCTTAAATTTGGTCTCTATTAAAAGGACTAGATTAGACAAATATTCAGTTAATAGATCCACCATTATAAGGAGTCAAGTTAATGTCATAGTAAACATCCTTTTCCTTTCATTGACAGTTCCTTTAGAAATAACCTTCTTTTAGCTTATTCTATTGTTTCAAAATTTGACATAGAATATTTTCTCTCCAGTTACAATACACATTCACCTACCCTTTCCAGTTAGATTGTTCAAATAAAGTTAGTTTGCTTTTGTAGTATTTGTTTCTTGTTTTGTTTTTTTTAATTACTAGATCATAGAAAAAAATATGTATTTTGTTACTGATCTTTATGTTTAAGTTTCCTCAAAAAATACCTGAAATTTTTGTAAAAAATAACATTTGTTTCTCATGAATTTAGTCAGTAATTATCAGCAGTTATATAACTATAGCATTGATAGAAACACACGATCTAAAAAGAATAGTGCAGTTGGACTAAGATCATTCTTCTTTAAACTACCATGACTATTTCTGCCACAAAGACTCTTCATAGATGCAGGAAAGAACTACAAAAGGATTATTTTGCAGTGGCCCTAAAAAATACCATTTACTATCTGAGTTGCAAATATTTGGTATAATGTTATGCTGCTTGAAGTTAGTTGGTAGATTGAGTTAGAAAGGTGGTTAATCCCATAACAGAAAACAAAACCATAATTTTGCAATGGCATAGACTTGACCCAAACCAAAAATTTGACCCCACTGTCTGTAATCCCTGTGTCCTAGTAGAACTCCTTCAGCATCCTTCCTATTCTATTCTAAGGTATCCTACCTGCCAGATACCTAGTTAATACTATTTCTGTCATGTCATTAGATGAGCTAATAATCAGGTTAGGGTAAGTAACCTCCAAAGGAGACTTAGAAGTAAAATAGAAATACTTTAAGGACTCAAGGACTGAAATAAAATGGATCGATAATAGCATTAATAGTTAATGGCTACCAATGAGAGTATAGAAGGGGGTTATTGCAAGCCTAAATATGGATAGTGAGCTCTCCACACAGCATAAATAAATTTGTCTAGGTTATGTCCTTTACACCATGTTAGTTTATGTAATTTTTTGTCTGATGGGTGACACACAGAAGGATTCTAAGCATGGTATCTGCATGGGAGATGCTGCAAGGGGGTCAGCCAGCCCAGGTCAATGTGGGGTTGTTGAGGGACTGCATGCTTCTGGCATGCAGCTGGGGCAGACCACCAGATGTCCCCACCCACACATATGTCTGACAGACCATGTAGCAGCGAGAAGTACACTAGAACCAGGAAGAGAGGCCCATTTTCTCCTGATAAAGCTTAGCACCATGCTTACTGTAAAGGAGAAATGCTCAAAAAAGGTCCAGTCATTTGGGCAGAACATATACTGAAGGTGAATTTAGAATAAATGGATAACTGTACATCAGCCAATAAGTTATAGTGCTGCTTTTCTCTTTGGCTTTGATAGAATTATTGAGCAGCAGATATATGAGGTCATCTGCTTTCAGAATTGAGAGTTTATAGTATCTGAAAAGAGCTAAGTTCACAATTAGAGTAACTTGTCCCCCTTTATCACTCCAGTAGAGTGTAAGAACTGTACTAGTTCCTGGGTTCTGGTTCTAGATTTGTCAGTCTAAACTTTAATAAATTGCTTGTTTCTGGGCGTCGCTTTTATCATCTGATAAGGAAAAAGAAACAATTTGAGTTGAATGAGTTCTGAAATCTCTGCCAGGTCTAATGTGAGGAAAGCTCTGCAGTGAGGCTGACTCAACTACCAACAATGTAACAGGAGAAAAAAGTAAAGCAATCAGAGAGTAAAGAACTCTAAATGGAAAAAAAACCCCAAAAAACCCATGCCCATAATTAAAGGTTGTTTTAGCACTAGGTTGAACAGAAGGAAGAACCTCATATATGTTGCAGATATAAACATGGAGTCATCTTTTATGATATTAATAGCATCGCAGACAATATAATGGGTAATAATGAAAGTCCACGTTCAGTAATTAAAATTTCCAAGTCCAAGCCAATATACTTTTTTGAATATAGCTAAACAAAAATAATGTAGCTTAGAGTTCATATTAGAATTTGGCTATAATTGAGTGGAACACCTTTGGTAAGATAAATGTATTCAATTAAATTTTCTACTTCCCTAGTTACTACATCATTTATCTCACAACACCCACCACCCACCTATATATTTAGGCTTAGTATATTTAAAATATCCTGTTATTTATATATAGGAAAAATTGTTTATGACCATTTAGTTGGCAGCAGTCACAGACACATCAACCTATTATGCTAACAATGACTTATACATACTTCAAAAATTCCAAAATATATCTGTAACTTTTTATTTTCTTAACCTTCAACATAAGTTTTAATAAACCTTGTTTTATTCAATAAAATTTCATAATCTAGTCAAAATGATATTGAACAGAGGTTCTTTTTTAATAATTTTCATAACCTATATAAGAATGTACTCAGTATAAAATAAGTGATATTCTCTTATTTACAAATTTTAAACCGATAATCACAAACCACAGCAACGATTATTCAAGTGCATTTAGTATTATGAGAGTTCTCTGGTAAGTTCATCTTGAGTAGTCTGATCATGCATCAGATTTCAGTCTATCTTGGTTAAGCTCATGTGGTAACATTTCCATGTCAAATACATAATGAATGTATTTATAGATCTCCTTAGCCTTTTGAATAGTTACTTGTGCATACATGGAGATTTCTTGAAGTGAGCTGAAAAATAAATTAGACATAATCATTACATTAGAACTTCTGACTTTTATAAAATTTAATACTCTTACTTTAAAAACACCAAACACAATAACCTTGAGAAAATCATCTCTTCCTAAGCATTATACATCCAGTTGGTATATCTTTAGCATTAATTTAAAGAAAACAAAAAATGTTTCCCTTTATTTAAAAATCGTCTGCAATAACAATGATTTCACCATCTGCAATGGACTGAATGTGCCTTCCCAAAATTCTTAAGTTGAAACCCTAATCCCAATGTGATGTTATTTGGAGGTGGGGCCTTTGGGAGATAATTAGATCATAAGAGTAGAGGGCCGAGCCTGTGGTGCACTTGGGAGAGTGCGGCACTGGGAGTGCAGCGATGCTCCCGCCGTGGGTTTGGATCCTATATGGGAATGGCCGGTGTGCTCACTGGCTGAGTGCAGTGCAGGCGACACCACACCAAGGGTTGCGATCCCCTTACTGGTCACGAAAAAGACAAAAAAAAATAAGAGTAGAGCCCTCATGAGAAGAGGCCAAAGAGCTAGTAGCTAGCTCAGTTTCCACTCTGTGAGGACACAAAAGTCAATAGTCTGCAGTCCAGAAGAAAGCCCTTGCCAGAATTCATCCTAATCTCAGACTTACAGCCTCCAGAACTGTGAGAATTTCTGTTGTTTGTAAGCCACAGTTTATGGCATTTAGTTATAGCAACCCAAGCTAAGGGGCCTTTAATTTATATGAACCTGTGTTCTAAAATCTCCCTTTCGAGCAATATAATGATAAAAAAACTAGTAAAATTCTCAACTTGAATATTTTTCTAGTTACAAACTGAACAGCCCAAGAAAGTTAGAATGCGAGGTCAAATGTAACTACTATTTATTGTCTTTCTCCCCAAAGAACTCTAAGCTCCTGGAAGGCAATGTCTACATCTTTTTTCTTTCCATTTTTTGGTCCATTAATGTCCTCAGCTTAAAGCAGTAACTGATATATGTTGGCGGACAAAAAAAATCTTTTTTTTTTTCCTTTTTGTCTTTTTTACTGACCGGTAACGGGATCGCAACCCTCGGTGTTGCGCCCGCACCACGCTCAGCCAGTGAGCAGGAACCGGTCTCCACGTGGGATCTGAACCCTCGGCGGGAGCGCCGCCATGCTCCCAAGCGGCGCACTCTCCAGTGCGCCACCGGGCCGGCCCAAAAAATCTTTATTGATTAAAATAATCCTAACAGTTATTATACCTCTTAATTTTTTGAAAATTCTAAACTTCGGTGAAATGCTTTTAAGAATCATTTAAAAGTAATCATTTAAGATTATTATTAAAGCAGACTTACCTGTTAGCCATCTTTTTCACAGATGAAAACTGATGACACATATTTAATGCAGTTATATAACTTACATTGGGAATACTTAAATAAAACTGAAGTGCCTCACATTTACTACTATTCTCCACTATTGGAACATGAATACCAACATTCTTTCTTTGTTCCACTAAAGACAAGTCCTTTAGCAAATCTGCAGTTTCTTCTTGGCAGGAACTGAAAAGAATTCGGATCCCAGCGCCAATTAAGGTAGTCAGCAGGCTGTTGTAGCTCTTTGTTCTCCTGAACATCTTTGATGTGTCTCCTAAATAATTCATATGTAGGAAAGTGCAAACTTCAGTAACTAATATTAAGTAGAATCATTAATATACTTTATATTATTAAATCCCAATATCTATACCATTGAGCAAACTAGTGACACATTCTGCTATTGAGAAATCCTACAGCTAAAGTTTTAACGTGATTCTCAAATATCTGAGAGAGAAAATAGGGAGAACTATCGTTATGAGTGGATCGAACTGGAATCAACAAAGGAAGGTGAATAGGTAAGGGAAAGCTTATGTGCCTAGATAATTGATTCCTGAAGGCCAAGACCATGTTACTCTACTCATCTCCATGATTTTTTCCATTCTAGAACTGATGAAGGGATCATTAAGTTTAGATTTAAGTGGTATAAAATTATCTTATGTATTTATTCCAAAGAGTAACAAATGACCTGCACACCCACTTTAATGTCATCTTGCTATTAATCTACTTCCCTACTGGTCCCATTCATTTTCTTTTCCATATTCTACTTATATACTTTTTTTGGCATTCCCCATTATGCTGCCCTTCCTCCCCCCCCAAAGATGCTTTTCCATAACTTTTGCCATGTTACTTTCCTCTCTATTCCACATATTTCCTTTATCCCTCAATTTTCAAATTAAAAAAAATGGGTTACTGAAAGATAAAGTGACTTATCCAAGATTACCTTGTTCACCAGTGACAGCATGGGAATGAAAAAGTTGCCCAATTCAAAATCCAATGTTTTATATAACCTACTCTATTTGCTTTTATGTATAATTTTTCAGTTCCTCCCTATTGGCTTTCACCTACATGATTTCACTTAATCCTTATAAGATAACTAGACAAGTATATTATCAATCTCTCAGGATCAGGCCCCCCAAATAATCACTTCATTTTAAGATCAACTGACTTGAGGCTTGAATTATATCTGCAAAACCCCTTCACAGCAGTACCCAGATTAGTGTTTGACTGAATAACCAAGGTATGGAAATCTTAGGGATCATCTTTAGAATTTTGCCTACCACAAGTACAATAGAGGCCTTTTCCATATGAAAGAAAACTGAGAGGATTCCTTGACAGAGACCTGCCATAAAATAAATGCTAAAAGAAGTTCTTGAAGCTGAAAGAAAATGATATCAGAGGGAAACTTGAAACTTCAGGAATGAAGAAAGAGCTATAGGTATTATTATCAGGGTCAATATAAAATATTGTTTTCCTCTTAAGTTCTTTAATATATACATTGATTGTTTTTTTTTTTCCTTTTTGTCTTTTTTACTGACCGGTAATGGGATCGCAACCCTCGGTGTCGCGCCCGTACCGGGGACCGGCAACAGGATCGCAATCCTGGGTGTTGCGCCCACACCGCGCTCAGCCAGTGAGCGGGAACCAGTCTCCACATGGGATCCGAACCCTCGGCAGGAGCGCCACCGCGCTCCCAAGCGGCGCACTCTCCAGTGCGCCACCGGGCTGGCCCAATGCGTGCATCTTCTAATCCCACATCGTATGATCTTTTCACTATTCTCGGGCCTCCCCATACAATTAAATAATTACCACAGAAATCCCCTAACTGAAGTTTCAATTCTGCATTTCCAAATTCATCCTAAGCACCCTTTTCAGTGACCCACTGAGAATGCATCTTAACGTGTTCAAAATTGAACCAGCTCCCTTTGCTCCTCAAATCTACTGCTTCTCTTTTATTCATAATTGCAATAAACAGCACCACCACCTAACTGCCCAGTAACCAAGAAGTTGGTCAACTCAGAGTAATTCTCAACTCCTCCCACCAACTAGTCCTGACTCCTAAAAAGCCCCTGAATCCTATTTCTCTTCACCATTGCTGCCTTATTTCAGGCCCTCATCCTTTCTGGGGTTCCTGAAAAAGTGTTATGATTGGTTTACTTGCCTTCAATTTCTCACCCCTCAGTTCTCCTAAGCTATATTTAAATACAATGACTAATGAAAAATATTACGGCATTATGAAAATGTGAAATGACATTCACAAGCAAGGTATTTATGTTTTAAGTTTCCCAAATCCTGACAGTAGAAGAACAAAATAAGTAACAGTCAAGTTCCTTTATAAGTTATATAAACAAAGACATTGTAAAATACAAACCTGTTTTTTCTCTGTCCTTTTCCACAATCACACATATTCTTTCAAACATGTTCTGCAGGTGCTGGATCTGCTCAATGAGCTTGTTCTTATTGATACTATTTAACATGTCAGACTGAGACCTCCTTTCCACCACCATGCGGTTACTCACTATGTAATCACAGCCATTAAGAGGACAAACCTCTACTTGTAACCCATGAATTGTTCTTAGGGAAGAAATTACTTCTAAACCAGAAGCAATTTCACGACTACCTACAAGGACATAGGTTCTTTTTCCTTCCTGCGGAAGTCTGAGAGAAGTATGCATCTCAGCCAAATGTGGTCGTGAATTGGAACAGTATGCCCCTGAAATGCTAGAATCCTTCAGAGCACTACCAACCTGGAAAAGTAGAAAACATTGATTGCAATCAGGTTAAATATATATTAGCGCAATAAACTTCTCACACCTGAAGTTGATTCTCTTTACTGCTAGATGATACTCTTTTTTTCTTCCTTCAACAGGACCAAAGTAACTGCAGTAAAGGAACAAATAACTATTCTTATAACTCAAAAATATTGTAAAGCTACAATTAACAACAAAAGCTAATATGAGGATGGATGTAAAGAAATAGGAGAAAGTCTGAAAATGAACAGAAAAGAAATGTGTTAAAAAGGAAAATTGTCATAATTTTTAGCCTAGAGAAAAAAAAAAATGGGAGGTTAAATAGCAACCTTACAGAAGATTAGAGTTAACTTTGAGGAATATGGAAACTAGATAAGATATTATTGAAAAATAACTGGGAGATTAGATAACTAGAAATTGCTTCCTGCTGAAAACAACTAAACCTGCTAAATAACATGTTTTAAAAAAATAAAGATACGGGCCGAGCCCGTGGCACACTCGGGAGAGTGCGGCGCTGGAAGCGCAGCAGCGCTCCCGCCGCGGGTTTGGATCCTATATAGGGATGACCAGTGCACTCACAGCGCTCACTGGCTGAGCGCGGTGTGGCCGGTCTCAAAAAGGACAAAAAATAAATAAATAATAAAGATACATAACTGGGCTGACAAAGTAAGGAATACACAGAGACAAAAAAAAAAAAAATTAAAGTGAGAATGCTAGAGGTTAATTAAGTGAACAAATTCAGGTTTCTTTTGCAAAGTATCTGCCAAACCTGATTTACTATGAGCTTGTCTTCTGACAGAGGCATAGGACATGGGAAACATGCATAGTGCTAGATGCCTGAAACCCTGCCCAAAAAATGGTTAAACATTTGCTGTCAGAGCAAATAAAAAATAAATCTACTCCATAAAAGCAGAAAAGAAACAACAGTTCTCAATCTTGACATCTGGTGGAGGGGAGAAAAAAATCCTCTCAGAATCAGTATATACAAACTGGCCCTCCATCCCTCATGTGGGTTTGTTGCCAGAATACACAATACCTGTGTGGTCCACAAAAACCTCGAAAAAAATAATTACTAAGTGCTCTTAGGAAAGAAGTGCAAATGGCCCTTATGAGCCATATGAATGTATGAAACTATATGAAAAGATGTTTTCAACTTTGCTATAAGAAAAATGCAAGTTTAAAACTATATGGAAATACCATTTCTCACTAGATTGACAACATTCTCCGATAATGAGGCTCTGGAGGAATCAAACGCTTTTACATTTCTGGTAGTTACAAAAAATGGTATAAATCCTATGAAAAAGTTAGCGATATCTGGCAACATTACATATGCATTTACCTTTTACAGCCAACTCTATTTCTCATAATTCATCCCAAAGCTACACTGCCAAGATATAAGACATGCACGTGGCTATTTGTTATAGGACTATTTCTCAGAATAAAAGATCAGAAATAACCCAGATATGCATCAGTGTGGAACTGTTGAATAAATTACGACATAATCATACAATGAAGGAGTATGCAGCTATAAAGAGTAATGAGGACTGTATATCTATGTGTTACTTACTGTACAGTGTACATCCTAATGTACTAGGACACATTTTTAAGTGAAAAAGCAAGGTGGAGGAAAGTGTGTAATGTATGCTACTATTTAGGTAAGGGAGATTAAAAATATAAATGCATTTAGTTATATATTTCAAAAATATATAAACAAACCAAAATACATATTTAAAAAGTTTTTACCTTTGTACAAGGGGAGAAACAGGTGAAGGGCACAAAAGTAGAAGCTAGACTTCTTTGAATATATTTTGTTGATTTCAATTTGGAATCATGTAAATATGGTACATAATTTAAAACAAAATTGAAAAGAATCTGTAAAAATAAAACTAACCTTAATATATATCCAGTTGATGAAATAATCAGAGAGAACTATTACAAATAAGTTGTAAAGAATTACAAATTCTTTAGACAAAATGAACTGCCACAAAAAATCTTAAACTGTTTTCAGTAACAGTATTATTGATGATAACAATGGTACAGTTATTCTGAAACTGTTATGTGATTTGGGGGATAAGGCAAAATAATTACATAATATGTTAATTCTATTATTCCCTATATTATCAAGAACCATGATTCTACACATAGGAAAAAGGATATAAAGATACAAAATTAATTGATGACAGTGATGGCACCAGGATGGCAGAAGAGATGATCCCTGCTGTCACTCCTCCCCCACTCCCAAGAGATCAATTTATTACTATTAAAACACAAAAACTGCTGTCCTGAAACTACTGAAACTCAGGCAAAGAGGAGAAGTGACACTCTGAGTCCATGAAGCCACGGAAGGTCACGGCAAGCAGTAGAAGGAATCACTCTGATCAGTCCCAGTCCCAGCTGATTCCTGGCATGGCACAGTACAGCACACAGAGCACATACCAGTGCACAGAGCAGCCACCTGGAGATAGCAAAGCCACAGCAGCACCCTCTGCATGAAGCTACCTGGAGTCTGCAAGAGAGAAGGTTGCCATGACAACAGGCAAAACAAAAACAAACAAAAAAAAACCCTTATGAGTGCCGCATTCCATTTCCCATGCCAGCAAAGTTACTTGTATGTTTTGCCTGTGCCCACATAGGAGGGATAGGCCATAGCCAACAGGAGGAAAAAAATCACTTTGGAGAGTCCCATCTCCCACCTTCAAGACCAGCGTAGCATTGTACACTGAGAGGGCCACAGTGCCTGCTCTCCCAGAGGAAAGAGTAGGAGGTGGGTATCTGATTTGCTCAGAGGTCTGAGAGTCTTCAAGGGGGGATCCTGTGGGGACTGACCCACAGGAAATGTCTGGAGTGCTGGAAGAGTGGCTGAACCACCAGGGGTGCACCAGGATTCATCACTGACAGCTGATCTACCTCCCAATGGCATGGGCACTACACAGTGGAGAATGGCTACTATGATAGGACTGCATAGGGTGTAGTTTGTGGGAAAGACTCAGTCCTGGGCCAGCTTTTCCACGTAGCTAAGTTGGGTTTGCCTCAGTAAGGCAGCAATTTAGCTCAGCTACAATGTGCAAGTTCTGCTCTCTGAAGGAAGTCTTTCCCCAATCTGGCAATTAGCCACAGAACAGCAAATAAGGAAGGTAATTATATAATATAATATAGGGATATAATAAAGGGATAAGTTCAACGAGACAATATAACCATTCTAAATATACATGCATCTGACACCACAGCACCCAGATTCATAAAACAAATACTATTAAACCTAATGCGAGAGGGGCTGGTCAGTTAGCTCAATTGGTTAGAGAGAGGTCCTGATAACACCAAGGTCAATGGTTCAGATCCCCATACTAGCCAGGTGCCAAAAACAAAAAAGTGGTTAGATCTAATGGGAGAAATAAACTCCAATACAGTAATAGTTGGGGACTTTCAGCAAAGGACAGATCATCTAGACAGACACTTAACCAAAAAACATCAAAGTTAATCTCCACTCTAGGATAACTGGACCCAACAGACCTTTATAGAACATTTCTTCCAAGATCTACAGAATACACATTCTTCTCAGCAACACATGGAACATTCTCTAGAGTATAGTATATGTTAGGTCAAAAAACAAGTCCCAACAAACTTAAAAAAGTTAAAATCATGCTAACTATCTTGTCCAACCACAACAGGATAAACCTAGAAATCAATAACAGGATACTGTAAAAATACATGGAAACTAAACAATATGCTCCTAAACAACTAGTGAGTCAAAGAAGAAATAAAAAGGAAATTCAAAAATTCCTGGAGACAAATGAAAATGAAAACACAACATACCAGAATCTATAGGATATAGCAAAAGCAGTTCCAAGAGGGAAGTTTACAGCAATAAATGCCTACATCAAGAAAGTACGATGACGTAAAATAAACAACCTAATGTTACAACTCAATAAACTGGAAAAACAAGAACCAAACCAAAAATCAGTAGGATAGAAATAACAAAGATGAGAACAGAAATAAATGAATTGCATCATATATGGAATCTTAAAAAAAAGAAAAAGAAAACATAGTTCTCACAGAAGTTGAGAGTAGCATAATGGTTACCAGAGGCTGGGACAGGAAGGCAGGGGTAGGGTAGGTGGGAGTGGTGGATTAATATGTACAAAGCTATAGGCAGATAGGAAAAATAAGTTCTGGTGTTCTAGGGGGACATAATATAGCTAATATTACTATATTGTATATTTCTAAATAGCTAGAAAAGAGGATCTTGACTGGAATCACCATAAAGTGTTGTAAACATGAGCCTGGAGTATCTTGCGAAATTATATAACAAGGAAGCTATCAAAGACTGCTAGGGTCACGTGAAAGCACACAGGAGCCACGCTGAAGAAGGTCTCATTGGCCAAAGCTGGGACAATTTGAGCAGTAGAAAACAAACAAACAAACCCCCAAAACCTACAAAGGGTTATATATATCAGATATGTTTAAATCCATGAGTTCATAATGTTAAAAAAACAAAAAAACTGTTGTAGGATGCTATAAATAAACTTATTGTTCTAAAAGTGATAAATAAAGGGAAAGAACGTAGCATTTAACCTCCTTTTCCCATACAAACTATACTACTGGGTAAGCAAATAGTAGTGAGAGAAAAGATTCAAATGACTAAAATCAGCAATGAAAGAGGGGACATTGCTATAGACTTTACAGAACTAAAAAGGATTATATGAGAATAAATGAACTAACTGTATGCCAACATTGGATAATGTAAAAGATATAGACAAATCCCTAGAAATACATAAGCTAAGGGAATGACTCAAAAATAAACAGAAAATCTGAATAAACCTAAAACAAGTGAGGAGATTAAATCAGTAATCAAAAACCTCCCAATGAAGTAAAACCCAGGAACAGATGGCTTCACTGATGAGTTCTATCAAACATTTAAAGAAGAATTGGGCTGGCCAGTTATCCAAATTTGTTAGAGTGCGGTGTTATAACACCAAGGTCAATCCTTTTCAAAATTTTCCCAAAATTGAAGAGGGGGGGAAGATTCCTTAATTTATTCTATGAGATCAGCATTACTCTAATACTGAAGGCAGACAAAGATACTACAAGAAAAGAGAATTGCAAACCATTACACACATTATGAAAATACATGCAAAAATCCTCAACAAAATAATAGCAAATCAAATTCAACAGCCTTTTAAAAAGATTATTCCCTATGACCAAGTGAGATTTATCCCAGGAATGCAAGAGTGATTCAGCATATGAAAATCAATTAATGTAATATGTCACATCAATAGAATGAAGGGAAAAAACACATGATCATCTCAATTGATGCAGAAAAAGCATCTGAAAAAATCCAACACTCTTTCATGATAAAAATACTTAAAACTAAGCATAGGAGAGAACTTCCACAACATTGAGTATGGCCATATATGAACAACCTACAGCTAATATCATACAGCTTTTCTAAGATCAGAACAAGACAAAGATGCCCACTTTTGCCACTTCCATTCAACACAAGACTGGAAGTTCTAGCCAGAGCAATTAGGCAAGGAAAACAAAACAAAACAAGACATCCAAATTGGAAATTAAGAAGTAACTACCTCTATTCACAGGTGTCATGATCTCACATATAGAGCATTCTAAAGAATCCATCAAAAAATTATTAGAACTAATAAATTCAGCAAAGTTGCAAGATACACAATCAACAGATAAGAATCAATTTTACTTCTGTACACTAGCAACAAACAATCCAAAAAGGATATTAAGAAAATAATTCTATTTATAATAACATCAAAAAGAATAAAACATTTAGGAATAAATTTAACCAAGGAGGGGCAAGACTGTACACTGAAAACTGCAAGACACTGGTGAAAAAAATTAAAGTCCAAAATAAATGAAAAGACATACCATGTTCATGGATAGGAACTTAATATTTTTGAGATGACAATATTACCCAAAGGGATCTACAGATTCAATGCAACCCCTTTCAAAACTCCAAAAGCATGTTTTTCAGAAATGGAAAAACTCATACTCAATTTCGTATGGTATTTCAAGAGACTCTGAATATCCAAAACAGTCTTTAGAAAGAGCAAAGTTGGCAGCTCAGACTTCCCAACTTCAAAATTTACTGCAAAGCTGCAGTAATCAAAACATTATGGTATGGGCATAAGGACAGACATAAAAACCAATGGAATAGTATTGAGAGTCCAGAAATATACCTTCACATTTACAGTCAACTAATTTTCAACAAGGGTTTCAAGACCCTCAATGTGGAAAGAACAAGTCTCTTCAACAATGGTGCTGGAAAAACTAGACAGCCACATGCAAAAAAAAAAAAGCTGAATTTTACTTTATACCATATATAAAAATTAACTTGAAATAAATCAAAGACCAAAATTTAAGAGCTAAGACTATAAAATATAAAACTCTTACAAGAAAACATAGAGGCAAATCTTTATGACTTTGGATTTAGCAAGAAGTTCTCTCCATATCCTCTTGTTCCTTCCTCAGTAAAATATTGCTTTTGTTACTTGGTGCTTGCTAACCTGATGGCAGGGAGCACTAGGAATGTGGGGCAAGAGGTATTTTTTGTCGTCCTGGTTCAGCCTTACTCTCACGCAGGACCTGTGTCCTTAGATCTCATGGGCGGGAATTTAATGATCCGGCCCTCCCTCCCAGTGGTTGGAGATCTCTAACAGTCCAGGCCTAAGATGAGAGTAGAGGAGTACTCTCTCAGGTATAGAGGGTTGTTTTTTTTTCTTGTTCCCTTCTCCGACTACAGTCTTCACCTAAGCACTGAGGGCTATAATGTTTGCTGCTCTTCCTGCAGTGGCTTAAAGCTTTTTGTTCCATAGGGGAAATGGGGGGAAGGAACCAGATGGGGCTCAGTGCCTTTTCCACAGTAACTGTTGATCACTTCCCCAAGGTCTGCATCAGGAAGATCTCCTCTGATTCTGTCTTTCTAGTGAACATCTGATGAGTCTGTGGAGAGGAGCCCATGAATGGTTGCAAATTCCCCTTGTGTTTGCAACTCCCAGAGGTTCTAAACTGTCATGCTCGTCCACTGCCTCTTGCAGTTCATTAAAATTTTAGCTGAATTCTTCTTACCAGATTTTATGTTGTCTAGGGACTGCCCCAAATCAACCAGTCTCGTTGGAGGTGCCTATCTTTCCTCAGATATTAGCCAAATTGGTTGCCCTACAATCTCAGCTCTGTAATGGTTTCAATAAAACTTATTTTATAGATTATCTGGCTTTTTGTTGTTATTGTTGTAAGGATGACAGCAACATTCTTTCCAGCTTTCTCCATCCTAAACTAATACAGATGTCCTCATCACTCAGAAATAATCTTTAAGATATATTTAAACTGCTGGTCAGTTAGTTCAGGTGGTTAGAGCATGATGTGGTAACACCAAGGTCAAGGGCTTGGATCCCCATACCAGCCAGCTGCCAAAAAATATATAAATGAACAAAATAAAATAAAATATATTTAACATCTAATTTCTTTTTTTTTTTTTTCTTTTTGTCTTTTTTCGTGACCGGCAACGGATCGCAACCCTCAGTGTCGCGCCCGGACCGGACCGGGACCAGCAACGGGATCGCAACCCTCGGTGTTGCGCCCGCACCTCGCTCAGCCAGTGAGCGGCCGGTCTGTATGTGGGATCCGAACCCTCGGCGGGAGCGCCGCCACACTCCCAAGCGGCGCACTGTAGCAGTGCGCCACCGGGCCGGCCCTAACATTTAATTTCAAAAAACAAAAAACAAATGCGAAGAAGAAAGGAAATGGCCACTAAAGAACTAGAAGAAAATATTGGAAATACTTAACTATCTTAGAGTAGAATATGGCTTTCTAAACATGAAACTGAATTCAGGACATTTAGGAAAAAAATTGGGACTCAATAAAAAAGTTATATTTTCGTATGGCAAAAAACATTAAAAAAAAAAGGCATATGACAGATGACAAGGAATACTGATTGCAATATACATGACAAAGCAAATGTTACCATTTTTAACATATGAAGGTAAGGTTTTTGACACATTATTTGACAGACACGTATTTTCTTTTTTTGTTTGTTTTTTTGTTTTTTTGTCTTTTTTGTGACCGGTAAGGGGATCGCAACCCACCGGCCATCTCTATATAGGATCCGAACCTGCGGCGGGAGTGCTGCTGTGCACCCAAGCACCGCACTTTCCCGAGTGCGCCACGGGGCCGGCCCAGACACGTATTTTCTATCTTTTCAAATTTACCTCAAATTCTTTCCCCTCCTCATTTCAAGTGAGAAGAATCATGCTATATGGAATTGTATTAGGTAATAGAAGAAGATTAAGACACATTTCTGTTAATATGTACTTATCCTTTTTCACAGTCCTCTAAGTATTACTAGCTCATATCTATTTTTCAGTTAAGCAGAAATGTTCTTTAAAATGATAGTGCTTACTCATTTTCAAATTATTGTGTATACGTTACTTAACCTGCTCCTTGGGATTACTATATCTTTATACTATAGATAAAGATATTGTAATCCCAGGAAACTGAATACTTTCTTCTTTCCCAATCAACTGTAAAGACTTAGTCAATTTTTCCCTAATTATGCCCTCAAGAAATACAACTTTGTGCATAAAAAAAAAAGCCAGGGACAATTTAAAACTGGAAATACCCATTTGAAGTCTATTATGTGAACAGGGTGGAGCATGTTGCTAAGGCAGAGTGGAGTGAAACATCCTGGGAATAAAAGGGGAAATAGAAGCAAAGAGTAGAATGGTGATTACCAAGAGCTAGGAAGGGTGGGGAATAGAACAGGTAGAGGTTGGGGAGATGATGGTCAAAAGATGCAAAATTTCAGTTAGATAGGAAGAATAAGTTCAAAGGATCCACTGTACAAGATGGTGACTATAATTAATAAGAATGTGTTGCATTCTTGAAAATTACTGAGAACAGATTTTAAGAGTTCTCAGCACAGAAAATGATAAAAGTATGTCAGGTAATGCATAAGTTAGTTAGCTTGATCTAGCCCTTCCACAATGTATACAAACATTCTCAGATACACAATAAATATATATCATTTTTGTCAATTAAAAAAATTTAATTTTTTTTTTAAAGTCTGTTTCAGTGTCACACTTAAATGATAGTCAAACATATGAATCGATGTTTACAGTTACGGGGTTCCTATTACTATGACTTTAACCCCTTACTGTAACTATAAATTCTGAAAAACTGAAAATGATTTTAGTGATTCTTTCAGTAATAGCAAGACGGGGAGAAGGTGAAACTGGACTATTAAGCAGCCATTCTGGAAAGAAATGGAAACTTAAAGAAAGGAAACTATATGGCGCCCTGAAACTCCTTTCCCCAATAAAGAGATAAGAGTTACATACCTGAAGCCTATGGGGAAAAAGAAAAGTTAATCTGTGAACTAGTTCTGAGCACATAATTTCTGTTAATTTCTTCTTGAAGAAAGTCCTAGTTTCCTAAATCCTTTTAATTAAATTATCCAGTTTCCTTACAGAATATTAAGAAAACTATTAAGACATTTAAAAATTAAAACCTAAATATCCTATGACCTGCTCACATAATTTAGTGTACTGTTTTCTTGTTTGAAGAAATTTTCCTCAAACTTTTTTGCTAATTTTTCTTTGACCTAATAATTTAATACAAAACACACACCAAAAACAAAAACAAAACTTTTGGTAAACATATGAGCCTTTTTTCTTTCATTGATTCATACCTTCAACTGCACTGGAAATTTTCTACAGTCTTTCTGTGAATCAAAAGTAGTTAGTGGTGGTAGGGTAGTTTCAACTTTATTATGGCTCTGAGGTGTGAAGCCTGAGACTTCAGAAATCATATTCTTTAAATTAAATTGTGTCTGTTGTCTCTGCTTTGGTGATCGATTATCTATTGGATTACATCGAACCTTTGGCTGCAATGAAGACACAGAAGGCATTAAGTTCAAATAACGGTCCTGTTGTTTGTTCTTGTTAACAGTGCTTGGGTTAACCCCAATATTGGAATCTTCTTCATCATTCACATTGTCATCCTCCTCACTTGAATCATCTGGTAAAATAATTCTGGAAAATTTCGTTTTTGAATGTGCACAATTTTGTTTCATCTTCATTTGCTTTAGCATTACTGCACGTCGGGTTTTATATTTTTTACTCCCATTTTCAAAGCAGTCTTCAGTTATTAAGTTAAAATCAACACAAACTTCATCACTTGATTGGCTTTTGCAAGACTCTTCTTCATCAACACAAAAACTGTCCTCTAAATAGTTTTCATCTTGTTCGGGAATCTACAATAAAAACACAAATAAGAATATTTTTAGTTTGTTTCATATATACTTTTAAGCACATGAAATGTTCATTAATACTTATTTCACCTACTTTATTAATTCAGTCACTTTTCAACTAACATATATTGAGTACATTCTTTATGGAGGAAAATGGGGAAATCGGGGATAAAGAAAAAGAATGATTTACCCTCTAGAAATACACAATCTAGGGTAGGCAGCTAGAATAGTAAATAATAACAAAAAATGTGCTGAGTGCTATATAATAAGCACACTGGAAGTGCAGAGATATGAATAACCATACTACCAAAGCTGAATATAGCAATTTATAAAGAACCAAGGCTAATACGAAAATGTTACCCATAAGTAAAACATAATCTGTAATTTTTAGAATATTTTAATGAAAAAATTAAATTTTCAAGAGAAATATGACAATGTATGAGAATTAAAAATTTAACTAGTAGATGATAAAATTCTATTCACTTCCATTAAACATTCTCCTAATTGAAAAAAAATTACATAGTACATTCTAATTAGCTCAAATCAAAGAAAGAATAAAGTGATCAAATTAGAACTAAAAGGGATCTTGAGAATTCATTTAGTCCACCCTCCTGACTCTGGTCAGAAATTATCCCAAATAGTTCTGATAGCCCAGTTTCAGAAACAAAATGGAGGTTTGATTAACAAGAACATATTTCAGCATTACCATCAGGAAATTCTCCACTATATTTTTATAGTTCATACCTGTGAAAAAATGTTTATGTTGTCATGTTTCTTTTGGACCATTTTGTACTTATTGCTCATCAATGGACTATGCACAGATTTCATGTAAATAGCTCTCATTTCAGAATCTGCATAAAGATAATAAAAATTTAAAATAAAGTAGCAAAATGATTTAAACAAAAACTGGCAAAGTATTTCACTTTGACCTATTCCAAATTTATATGATTTAAACCTTGTGAAAAAATTTTACACTAAAGATACTTAATATAAAATACAAAAGAAAAAAGAAACCAATCAAAAATATACTTTATACTGAAAAATATCTAAAAATAATTAATCAAAAATGCAAAAGTAGGAGTTTTGTCTTTAAAATCAGATCATCTAGTTGGGTGATCATGAACAACTTAGTTAAGTTCTGTGTCTTAGCTATCTCTCGCTTCTAAAAATGAGGATTAGGATGATGTCTTTTCATCCAAAATGCAATAGCCTCCTAACTGGTTTCTTTCCAACTGTGTTCCCTTACAGGCCATTCTCAACACAGAAGCTAGAGAGATTCCACTAAAACATGTCAGATCATGATCTGGCTGCTCACTGTCTCTGATCTCACTTCTGTCTACTACCCTTCTCCCTCATTTCAGTCCCAATGCTGCTCCTTGAACGTGCAAGGCAGTCTTGCATCAGGGCCTTTGCACTGATTGTTGTCTTTATATCAACATTCTTCTACTAGATTATACTGTAAACCTGCAAGAGCCACTTCTGTTCATGATATCAAGGGCATAAAATTCTACTCTGAAAATCCTATCAGTATCAAGGATATGGTCCTGAGAACTTTGTCTTTAAACCATTTTAAATCATATAAGAGACTGCAAGAGCAGAATAAATGGTAAGAGCTGTGAAAGGTCAGAATACTGTGAGCCAATCAGAATATTTCTCACTTCCGTTACAGCCAGTATGATGAACACCTGCTCAAGCATTGTTTGAATTTCCTGAAAGAGCAGATCTCCCTTACTCTTAGTTAGTTTTAAGAATACATATCAGTAAACCCCACTTCTAGTCTTTGATCAAAAGTCACCTTCTGGGCCGGCCCGGTGGCGCACTGGAGAGTGCGCCGCTTGGGAGTGCGGCGGCGCTCCCACCGAGGGTTTGGATCCCATGTGGAGACCGGTTCCCGCTCACTGGCTGAGCGCGGTGCGGGTGCAACACCGAGGGTTGCAATCCCGCTGCCGGTCCCCGGTACAGGCGCGACACCGAGGGTTGCGATCCCGTTACTGGTCAGTAAAAAAGACAAAAAGGGGAAAAAAAAAAAAAAAAGTCACCTTCTCAGTGTGGCCTACTTCTCATCACCTTATTTAAAATTGGAACTTGTCCATTATTAATACCTTTGACCCCTGCCACTCCAAATCCTTCTTACCTTGTTCAACTTCTTCATTTTTCTGTACATTTTTCATCTTACAATATGCTAAATCACTTAGTTAATATGCATATTGTCTGTGTCCTTCCATTCAACTGCAAGATTCATAAGAAGGGATTTTTGTCCACTTTGTTCACTGACATATCTTTCTCAAGTGCTGTACATTGTACCAGGCACCTAGTGGGCACTAAACACTTCTTTTGTTTGTTTGGTTTTTGGTGGCTGGCCAGCAAGGGGATCTGAAACCTTGACCTTGGTGTTATAAGGTGGCACTATACCCAACTGAGCTAACCAGCCAGCCCCTTTCTTTTCTGTTTGTTTAATTTCTTTAGTTTTTTGGGCGCTGGCTACTACAGAGATCCAAACCTTTGACCTTGGTGTTACAAGGCGGTGTTCTACCCAACCAAGCTAACTGGCCAGCCCCAAACACATCTTAAATGAATATTTCACACTTCAGCCACCAAGGTTAAAAATATTCGAATTAGCAGAAACCTATAAATAGCCGAGTCTAAAATAAAGCAACTATTACAGAATTTGAATGAAAATGATCAAATAATATTTTGCACATACCAAATTTAATCACAGTTAAAATCTAGTTTCTTTGGAAACCAATTAAAATATCTAAATATAAACACATTAAAAAGATTGAAAAATTTTTCTAAAAAGCATCACTATAACATTTACCATTTATAGCCTGGGAAGGTTGAGTCTCATCATTTAAGAAGTCAAGTAATGAGGAATCTTGTTCATTTTCTGACTTATCATTTTCATCTGATGAAACACATTCTGCATCTTCTTTGGAAAGTTCTGCTTCATCATCTAAAAACTTCCTAGCTACATGCTGAAACAAATTAGAAAACATGATGATACCCTTGAGAAAATCATTTTCTTTCATAATTGGAAACAGTTCTGGAAAATGGATTTCCTGTCAATGATTTTAAGATTAAAAATAATAAAAATAGAAAACTGCAAGAAGAAATGATAAAGTAACATATCTACTTAAAATTTCTCCTGATAATTCTAAGTAAAATAAAGTAGAAGTCGGCATTCAGCTTGCTGAATGTTTCTTAGTAAGCATAAAGTCGGGGCTGGCCCGTGGCACGCTCAGGAGAGTGCGGCGCTCCCGCGGCGATGCTCCGCGTCGGGTTCGGATCCTATATAGGACTGGCTGGTGCACTCACTGGCTGAGCGCGGTGTGGGCGACCCCACACCAAGGGTTGTGATCCCCTTACCGGTCACGAAAAAGACAAAAAAAAAAAAAAGTAAGCATAAAGTCGCATCAGGAAAAACACTGCACCACAAAAGGACTGACCATGCACTCACTGGCTGAGAGCGGTGTGGGCGACCCCACACCAAGGGTTGTGATCCCCTTACCGGTCACGAAAAAGACAAAAAAAAAAAAAAGTAAGCATAAAGTCGCATCAGGAAAAACACTGCACCACAAAAGGACTGACCAAAAGGGAAAGGTGCTGAGAAGTCTTTTTCAAGTATTTGAATATTGGACAGAAATAAAAACAATATAATGAATGTATAACAAATACTCTAAAACTTAGATTTCTGTCTCTATTTTCTTCAGTTTGAACCATAAATTCTCAATACACTTACATTTCTTCATTTAGTCATTCAAAATACAACACTGAAAGATAAAGTATGAAAACAAAAATAACAAATTTTGAGATTTTGATTCCTATAAAGAAACAAAACTGTGTCAGTTATTTTTTAAAATAGTTTTTTTCTATAAAGAAAATGTATAGAGAAATCTACTTTGATGTAAAAGATAATAATCTTTACTAATAACATATATACATAATAAAGAAACTAAAAACAATTACCCTTAGGTGACTCCGTCTCTTTTTGACTCTGATGCCTTCTCTGGAATTCTTGTTACAACTCTTGAAGTCTTCTAATTGAGGATTTGGTTTGTGAAAATTCTCACTTTCATCACTAGATGATAATTCTGACTATAATAATTCAACAAATTCTTACGTAAGAAAAAATATTGAATTGTTTTATCTTAGCGAATTTCTCAAGGATTATTGCTTTTATTTTCATTTAAAATATTTGGCCCAATACTTTCTTCTTAGAAAAACAAAATTACTCACAACTCAGAGCCATACTATAAATACATAATATTTAAGAATTTTAAAACCAATAAGGTATGTATACTAAATGTTAAAATTCTAAATTAGACAATACAAGTAATATTAGTATATGCAGTCATTCAATTTAGTACTGCAGCAAATATATTTGATCACAATTTGCATTTTTAGTTTAACAGTGTTTTCTTTAGAAGACCTTCAAGGGCTTCACAAAAATTAATTAAGTCTGTAAATTAGGACATGGGAATCATTCCAAACATACAGGAATCCATTCAAACCAAGAAACCCAATATAACAACAACAAATTTTGACCATGAGGCCTACCAAAACGTCTCTCACAGAATAATATAAAACCAATCAAAAGAATCAAAATAATTTAACAGATAATTTCAGTTTAAAAAGGATTAATCATCAGCATTATCAATATTTTATTTCACTTCTGATAAGTTAATCAGACATTCTAGTTAAGGTAGCAAGCTAAAGCAATTTTTCTACTCAAGTTTTATATGCATATACAAGGTTAATATGAACTGGTTGGATTTTTAATTACAGATGGTCCCTGTCTTATCCATCAATCAACGTAACGATTTTTCAACTTTACAGTGGTGCAAAAGCGATATGCATTCAGTAAAAACTGTACTTTGAGTACCCATATAACCATTCTGTTTTTCACTTTCTGTACAGTATTCAATGAATTGCATGAGCTATTCAATATTCAACACTTTACTTTAAAATAGGCTTTGCGTTAGATGATTATGCCCAACTGTAGGCTAGTGTTAAGTGTTCTGAGCATGTTTAAGGTTGGCGAGGCTAAGCTATGATTGTTAGGTGTATTAAATGCATTTCAACTTAAAATATTTTCAAGTTACGATGGGTTTATTGGCTCATAATCTCACCGTAAGTAGAGAAGCATCTGTAATTTTGCACTACTTATTCTAGATTGTATTAGAGAATTAAAACACATAAGATTTGCTAGTCTCAAAATTAGCTATCAGTTATAAGCTGATAATAAATGAGTATCATTAGCCTTAGGACCTGCCCACCTACCCAAACTTCAGATTCACAGTCATCAATACCTGCCCAACATGTCACTTTATCATTTGACAAGAACCTCAAACTCAGACATGTTCAACACTGAACTTCCATCTCTTTCTTTTCTTCCCTAAATTTGTGACACACCTGCCAAATAGCCCAAGCCAAAAACCAGAGAGTCATCCCAGGCCCCTTCCTTCCCTTCTTTCAAACCCATTCAGTAATCAAATGAAAGAACAGGACATCCAAAAACTGACCCAGATTTTTCCCCAATTTTACTTCCTGGAACTCTTTTGTCTTTACAATCTAATAACATAGAAATGCCGCTTCCACCACTGGGTCATTCTTTATGCTGTTCATTCATTCTTCTGACAATGCTTTCCCTTCTCCCTTCTTTTGTCTAAGTGCCACATACACTTTAAGATTTAACTGCAGTATTACCTTCAAGAAACTTGCCCAAACTCCCAAAATCTAGGCTAAGGGTTTCTTATCACTCAACTTAAAAAATTATACTGAAATTATCTGTTTACTTAACTATATCTCCTATTAGAATATAGGTGACATTAGCATCAAAATATGTTCTTGGGCTGGCCGGTTAGCTCAGTTGGTTAGAGCATGGTGCTGATAACACCAAGGTCCAGAGTTCGATCCCTGTACCAGCCAGTCCCCCCCAAAAAAGGTTAAAAAAGGATACGTTCTTTATAGTATCTCCGGCATTTTACACAGTAGAAACATAGTAGGTACTTAATGAACATATGCTGAACTGCTGAAGTGTACTGACAAAAATAGGGTGGTTTTTAAAGAAAGTGTAAAGTTAATATTTATACTCACTATGCTTAGAAAAGTTTACAGTGAATATATCTGAAAACAGAAGATAGAAATTCCAATCACACAGGATGTAATATCAATTTTTCTGTTAACCATATACCTGAAAGATCAAATATATCTATACTTATCTGTACACACATATTTCCTGTAATATTTATCCAAAGGAGTTTGGATTACTATACATTATCTATTGCTTACTTACTCTGTTTATAGGAACCCTGCGCTTTTTGACAGGATGAAGTGGAGAATCAACTTCACTATTTTTCTGATCCTATATAAAGTAAATAAATAAATAGAAAAGTAAAAGAAAGCAAAAAGTCTTCAAGGAACAAAAATAGCTTTTATATGATTACATTATTGTGATTACTGAATGACTCACCTCAGGGGATTTTAAAACATTTCCTTTCGGTTTTTTATGTTTTCTTCGGAAAATCTCATCATCTTCACTTTCATTACTTGCTAATAATTGTTCATCTATAATTTATTTTTAAAAATAATAAATTTGATCAATAGACTTAAGTTTACCCAATCATAACAATCTGTTTAATAGATGGCTATAATAAAAATTATTTCTGGCAATCTCAACATTTATTCACTTTCAAAAAATATAGTTTTTCAGAAGTTTGGCCAAAAAATCAGCATGGGAAAAGACAGAAAAATGAAAGTGCCAATCAGGAAAATAAGAGACAATAGCTTTTGCTAATATACACATATTTGAATAAGGTTCAATTTTATAAATTAACTGAAATGAGGTCAAACGAAGGCAAAATGTAACTTTATTAGTGAATGGTTCTAGAATTCACCTTTAAAATTTACTGTAGTCTTTCTGCCCTGTGTATCTTATTTTCTTTCTCGTTGAAGGAGTTAAAGCATGAAAATGCAGGCTACAAAACAATATATGAAAAGATTCTTTTTTTATATATGTGTGTACATATGTATATATAATATAATGTGTGTTTGTGTACAAGCATGAAATAAAAATTGGTAAGATATTCACCAAAATGCTGTAACTAGAACTACAAATTCAGGGGGTGAGGGGAATGTTAAAAACAAAACCATTGTATATGAAATCAAATGCTTCAAGTTTTCAGTTATTTAACAACAGTTCTAGTTCTGCACTTTAATAAAATTTTGATTGAAGACACCTTTCTGTGTCTTCACAAAACCTTCTATAAGATCCCTGTAGTGGTTTTAAAAGACATGTTCACAAACTCTTTGATGCTCCTCCCTTCAGAAGTGGATCATAATTCCTCTCCCCTTGAGTGTGAATGAGACTTACTGACTTGCTTCTAACAAAAGGAAGTGAAGGTGTCTTACTATGAGTCTAGGTTATAAAAGGTATTGAGGCCTCACCCTCACTTTCTCTCTTGTATCACCTGCATGAAAAAGCCAGATGCTATGTTTTAAGGACATATCCATCAACTTTATGGAGAGGCCCACATGGCAAAAAACTGTTTTAAGAATGTATCAAGCAATGTTATGGAGAGGTCCATGTATCACAACAGTGATGCAAGTGAGCCATCTTAAAAGCAGATCCTCCAAACCAATTCGAGCTTTCAGATAAATGCAGCCCTGGTCAATGTCTTGGCTGCATCCTCATGAAATATCTTGAACCAGAACCACTCAGCTAAACCACACGTGAATTCCTGACCCACAGAAACCTTGAGATAATAAATGTTTGTTGCTTAAAGTCATTAAGTTTTGGGAGTAGCTTGCAATACAACGATAAATAAATAATACAGATTTTGACACCTAGAAATAGGGAGTTGCCATAACAAAAATCTAAACTACAGAAGCAGCTTTGGAATTAGATAGTGGACGGAAGCTGAGAGGACTTTCAAGGAGAGTTTTAGTGAAGGCCTGAAGAACCTCAAAGAAGTTGTTTATAGGAAGATTAATGGCCACTGAGGAGAAAAGTAAGCAAAATCTCATTGGAAACTAGAGGAAAGTTAATTCTTTACATAGCATCAGAAAGTTTTAGCAACATTCCTGTTAGCACAAAAAGTAGAAAATGTACCTCAGTGAATGAGGTGATCTAGCTAAAGAAATGTCCAGACAAAATGTTTAGGATATCACCTATTGCCTCTTGCTGTTATAGTAAAATGCAAAAGGGGAGAGAGAAACTAAAGAAAGGCCTATTAAACATAAAACTGGGACTTGCTGGTTTTGAAAATTCCCAGCCTTTCTAGGTGGCAAACAGTGCTAAAATTAAGAAATCTTCTAGGCAAAGATCAAATCCAGAGGACTGCCAGGAAAATATTATAAAGCTGAGGGTGTAAGTATAAATCCTTAAGACCTCAGAAAGATCAAATGCAGTGTCTCAGAGCGTACCATTCAGTCAAACAAAAGGCTCCTTAAATATTTTAAGGATGCTCCTCACATATCCTATCAAACAACAGGCCTTCTAGGGAATATAAGAAATTATCTCCGAACATCTCAGCAGAAGCCAAACGTAGAGAAGAAATTTTTTCCAAAGTATTTGTGGGCATTAATAGTATCTAATGGAATGAACCCCATAAGATTCACAAGAGATCCACAAAGATTTCTGAGAATTATATTGGAAGAAATGCGGCCAACTGCAACAGAAAGGGATAGAGACAGTACAAACTGAAAAGAGGCCTTTGGAGACCCAAATTTTAACCAAAAGGAAGCAGGCTGAAAAAGGCCACAGGTGCCACCTGATATTAAAAAAGGACCAAGCATCCAGAGGATGGAGCCAAGAATCATGGAGAATTATTCCCAGGCTTTCAGTCCTAATGGAGGAACTTCCATTCTCAGCTCTGCTAGATTTCAGAAATGCCAATGGACTAGCAATTCTTGTATACTTTCAATCACTCCCTGACTCCTTTTGAACAAGCCATCTTAGGAGATTCTCCTTGTCCAGTCAAGCCTTCAGGTGACTGCAACCCCAGTTGAAATCTTGACTATAAACTCGTGAGGAATCCCAAGCCAGAACCACCCAACTAAGCAACTCTTGAATTCCTGACCTACAGAATATGTGAGATAAATGTTTGTTATTTTAAGCCACTTAGTTTTTTGGGGTAATATGTTACACACCAATAGATAATTAATATGAACCCACACAGGAAATTTGTCTCTATACTCTTTGCTAGTAAAACATCTACCCAGACAGATAAACTTGAATGATTCCTTCTTGCAGATAAGCACTGTATAATCCAACTAGTTTTTCTTTTTTCATTACCTGCTAAAGAAACCAAAGTTAAATGCAGGTCTCGTCTGTACTAATCAACTCATTTCAGAAGGCTTTCTCTTTAACTGCTTAAGTGGTATTTTAGTGAACTATTTTTTTTTTTTACATATAATAAGGTAAATGCTACTAAATCCTCTCTTTCAATTAGATGGGAGAAAAAATACTAAGTAAATATTCCCTAATAAATAATTCCCAAATATACATGTGTTCATAATTATATTGCCCATGATTGCACTTAAGTACAATGCTTGAAAAAAAGTTTTAATGCAATCTAACAAAAAAATAGAAAAATAATCTCACCATTAACATGGACTTAATATAGAGGTACCAAAGCAAATATTGATGGCTCTCAGACAACACACACTTAGTAAAAATACTTACATTGGAGCACACCCCCCAGCTATGCAGAATGATCAGGTTTTAAAAATTAAATATACTTCCAGAACTTACTTTAAACATGTTTTCATTTTAAATATAACACAGATAAATCATGCCCTCGATGCTAATGAGAATAACATACCGAACAGATTTACAGAGGTAACTCTCACTTTATCCTATAGCTACTCTTTTTTCTATAACCACAGGAGTAAAAATCTTAAATGGCCTGATATAATAATCTATAAATAAACTAGAGTTGAGTTCTATAGCAGGATTTAAAGGATACTTAAATCATTTCAATACCAAACATTTATTATAACGGTGCTTCAAAAGTTCATGGAAATTTGTTTTTTGGTTTTTTTTTAAAAAGATGACCAGTAAGGGGATCCTAACCCTTGACTTAGTGTTATCAGCACCACACTCTCCCAAGTGAGCCACAGGCCTAAGTTCATGGAAATTTGAATTAAAAGATAATATGAATCTTTCCATGAACTTCTTGAAGTACCCTTGTACTATATATATTTTCTATTTTTTCTGTAACTGTAAAGTTAGATCACAGAAATCCTGAGATTCCTCTGATCTTCTGTGGTCTGGGCTCAATTCCCCAAACGGTCTTAAATTTCTCAAATATTCTGGCTACAGAAATCCTCTACTTCCAACTGTTCCCTCAAAATCATATACTTTCCTTCTTTCCCTCTGCTTTCATTACTTTGTATAACACGCAAATTCTCCTTATTATTTTCAACATATGGTAAAATCAAATATTCCTGAGGAGCCAAAATGAAAATCAACCTCATATATAAAGTCTTTCTAATCTAATATAACTTAAAATTTCACCATTCTCTTAACTTCCTAAACAGCCACCATCTTATGATGCATTTGGTAGCTATTTCCACATTTTACTGGCATCTTTTCAAATGTATATATCACATAATTGTTTGTGTTTCACAATCAACGGCTAGGGCCAAATCTTACACTTTGTATATTTTACAGTATCTAGCATAATACCTTTCCCATAGCATGCATGCTATAAATATATGTAAATAGAATAAATCTTATATCAGTAAGCATCAACATGAGAAAAATACAGTACATCGATTATCTAATTCAATATATATATTGCACCATATGCTGGGAAATTACATTTGAAAAAATTACAGAAGTATTTCTAGAGTTAATTATACTAGAAAGGGTTATGGTTTTTATAAACATGGAATCTTACCTTCAGCAGAATGACAGGATTGATGCAGATGGATTTGATTACTGCTTTTAGCCTTTTCTAGAGAAAATCCTGAATCATCAAAAGTTGAATTCAATGTTTCTTTGAAACTCTGTAGATTTACTTTCTCCTTATTAGAATCTGGAGTCTTAGGCATTTCCTCTCTCATCTTAGAAAATGAGTTCAGTATGTTTAATTCAGAAAGTGGTGTACTCATAACTTTTTTTACTACTGGCAAAGAAAACTGAGAATAACCAGGAGATGTAAATTCTTTACTTTTTGCTGTACTCAGTGGAAAACGAGGAAAATTTGGGCTCTGCATATCTTTACTTGATGGGATAATGATTTCACTCATAAAATTTTCAACATGATCTTCTGGTATTGCTGTTTGATATGAAACATACTTGGCATCACTTATTTCCTTAATACCTAAATACCTTCCAGATAGATCATCTAGAAGTCTATTGTTATTTGTCTCTGATGCATGTTCTAACATTTCATCATCAGAATCCTGACTACAAAATCCTAAATCAAAGGTAACAGAAAATAAATCCCCAGAGCAATCAAAAACATATTCATCACTCGTCAGTTTTTCCTCACGTACACCTCTCAAATCTTCATGAGATTTCTGACTATTACTATCACAGATGATGTGATCTTGGGGCTCAGAATTATTGTCTAACAAAAGTTCATCAGAAATTAAGAACTGAGAGACCACAGTCATTTCACTTACAGCAGTTTTGTCTGACACACATAAAGATTTACATTTATTATTCAAGGGAGAAAGGCTCACATCATTAAACTCTGTATTAACATCTTCAAATAATAGTAAACTCTCATTCTGATCCGTGAACAATACTTCAAGGTCATTGTTATCAACATTATGACTCTTTTCTTCAACTAAATTCTTCACAGGGTATATGCATACTTGAACATGATCTTCAGGTTCTAAGTTTTCATTTTGAGTAACTTTATGTACTTTACCATCACAGTCACAGAAGCTTGGCTCATCAGAAATCTTATCATTAATTGCACCATAAAGGCAACTTTTTTCAAAAGGATCATTAATAAGTTTAAGTGAATTCGATTCTAAATTCTGTTGAGAATTCACAGCTGAATGTGACATCAAACAGGTGGATTTAACATTTTGTAAATGCTCTGCGTAGGGTAGGAAAAGCAAATTCTCAAGTGTTGAATCCTTAGCAATTTCATATTCCAAGTCTGAGAGTCCACTGAGAGAAGGTGGAGAATGAGATAAAAATCTCTCTACATTAACTAATGTCTCTTTTGTCAATGAGTGACAATTATAAAATTGGTCATCTGTTTTAGTTTTATAAAGCTCTTCCTCAAATGGGAGAAACAAATTAGATGAAACAGATTTTTCATCACTGAAACTGTTATAACCAGAGTCTAAAAAATTTCCAGCAAATGAACTAGTAGATTTATTTGCAAATTGACATTCTGTTAATAATACACATGGCTGATCAACAACATTTTCTTTAATAGTACATGTGGCAGCAACTTCACCTGTATCTGATGTCCTTTTATCATTTGGTAGGTCTACCTGAAAAATATTTTCCACAGTAGAATTTCTGTCTGTATCTAAAGAATCATTATTTTCTTTTTTCGACTGATCTTTTTTCATTTCTTTAGATGCTTTTTTCTTCAGAGAAACAATTTTAGTATGTTTGATATGAGTTTGTTTAAAAACTTCATCACATTCTTCATCAGATTCTGTCATTGAGAGTGAATTGTCTTTATTTATATTCTTTTCAAATGAAGATTTCTTGTGAGTAGTAAAAGTGTCATTGGCAAGATTATTATATCTGTTCCTGGGAGCACCAAGTGTTGATCTAACATCTTCCATTTGTAAATAAGATTTAATTTCCAATTCATAGCTGCATTCTCCCTATAAATAAAGAAAAAGTCACAGAAAAACAAAACAAAAAGCTAATTCTAAGAGATGAGTTTCACTCTATATTAAAATATTTTCTAAACAATATTAAATCATTCAGCTGAAAAATCATAATTATGTTTTATAATGATGAATAATATGCTAATAATCCTGATTTGATAATCACATATTATACACAGATACTGACAGTCAACTCTGAACCCCATACACGTACAATTATATTTCAATAAAAAAATTATAATAAAATAAATCTGAAGTCCTTATGTCTTAATAAACAAAATTATAAATGACACACTGTGAAATTATCATGTTATCTTTGATCAATAATTTTTTTGTATCCCCATTACTTAATATAAAGAAGACTTGTGATAACTATTTGTACAAAGAACAAATTTAATGAATATATAAGAATATAAATACTGAGTTTTTTCACTTCTAACATTTAATAGAATAATTATTCTAATTTCCTAAAAATAGATACTTAAAAAATTCCCATAGGTATTTTTATTTTTTTTTTCCTTTTTGTCTTTTTTCGTGTCCGGCAATGGATCGCAACCCTCAGTGTCGCGCCCGTACCGGACCGGGACCGGCAACGGGATCGCAACCCTCAGTATTGCTCCCGCACCTCGCTCAGCCAGTGAGCGGGAACCGGTCTGTATGTGGGATCCGAACCCTCGGTGGGAGCGCCGCTGCGCTCCCAAGCGGCACACTGTAGCAGTGCGCCACCGGGCCGGCCCCCCCATAGGTATTTTTAAAACATACATACACACATATATATGTTAAAATTACTCTCTCAATGGAAGTAACTAAGAACAGCTTTTAGAATTTCTGAAATAAGGGTACCTGTATGTCTACTAGGCTATAGCTTAGAATACAGTTCTATTTTTAATAAAGCTCCCAACCAAGAACGCTTAAAGTAAATTTCTAAATCTTACTTATCTCTAAAAACAGAATATGGCATACAGAAGGCACTCAATAAATACAGTATGTTAATCTGATAGCACACATTTTTCTGGGATCCACAACTAATTACTTTACATGTATTCATGAACAATAGCAAATAATAAAAACAGCAGCTACAATTTGAGTACTAAAATAGTGCTAGTTACTATTCTTAGTGTTCTATATGTACTAAGTTATCTAATCCTTACAACAACCTATGAGTAGGTATTATCATTATTCCTATTTTAGAGATGAAACTGAGGCACAAAGAGGTCATATAACTTACAGACACAATCAATAAGAGGTAGAGTTGGGATTCTAACCCAGGCATTACGGATTTCACACTCATAATAGGTTCACTATTCTGACTCCCTCAAAGAAGAACAATCAAGAACTGCTAAAGAATCAATAATCCCCTAAACCACCAGGATACAAGAGAGACACCAAATGACCTACATGACCGAGAATATTTTAATATATCCAAATCCAACAAGAATCCTAAATTAGCTTTATAAACAATTTTATTCTGGTCTATCAATATTTACAGATGATAATCTTCTACAATTAATTAAGTCTATTTCTTCTAAGGGAGAAAACTGGTTCCTGATTGTGATCAAAAGGAGCTATACAGAAACAAAATATTTCTAGTTATAATTATTTGTAATAAATACTTTTGTTTCTTATAATGAGTTCAAATTAAGAAAAATAAAGGTTAAGTATTTTAGTTTCACTATCATACCAGCAGGAGGAAATTACAATAAAACCCTACCTCTTCGTGTCTCATTCCTTCTATCATTTGCATAATGCTTATAAAATGGTGGCATCGATCAGAGTGGTCAACTTGATGTGTAGGAAAAGGATGATCTTGCCACAATCTCCACTCAGAGAGAGAGAGTTGATGGACTCCAGTCATTGGTTCTTGAGTCTTAATAATGATTTTAAAAAAAATAAAAATGATGAAAACACATATACATACTGAGATTTCACCAACTGATTTTTAAAAAACATGCTTAAGATACAGATAAGCAGCCTAACATAAATAACTTAAGCTCATTTAGGTACTCTCAATTAAAATCTCAGGAGATAAACAGAAAATAATTTCATAAAGTGCAAAGGTACCCTTTTAAATACATTTATAACTCTCACATGAGTTACAACTTGACCATATCCCTGTTTATATAGTTCCATGTTAAGAGCAAATATTGAAAAAAATATATTTGGCTTCAAACTACTATTTCGCTAGATTTATATCCTACAATCTAATATAGAAAATTCATAATCTCTCAGGGATACTAATCCAAGTCTTCATGCCTGCTGCCATTCCTCACTCTCTGTTAGAGAATAATATAAAAATTCTGATAGTCATATATTGCGAGCCCTATAAATCTCCTAAAAGACATCTATCCTGAGGTTGTTTTTCCATCTCTCTAGGCATATACATAACTCTTGATTGGTTCTCTTGACTTTCATTATGTTCACCAATTATTCGCTCCTAACAAACAAAATAAACATTAACTTCTAATTTATAATTTTAACTATAATTCAAAATGAAAAATAAAAACCAGTGTGCTCAAAAATGCTCCTGACAGCATAATTTATGTTAGTACAATATTGAAAAGAATCCAAAACACAATAGGGAAATAGCCAAGCAAACTACAGTATATTGTAAAGTGACAACCACGTAAGATTATTTCTATATAGAAATGTTTATATAATAAGGTAATAAAGAAAAGCCAAAACTTATGTAAAAATATCACAGTTATGTAAAAAAACATATACAATAAACAGTACAAAAAAAAATCAGTAGTTTTATAAACTTAGACTTTATTGATTCTTTTTTAAACTCATTACATCCTTAGTTTTTTAAGTAAGTTGACATTCCAATAACAAAAATCTCTCATTACTCTCAAAGCTACTGCATAATCATTACAAAGAGGATCTGAAAACATGTTCAACTTACTGGTGTGTTTTCTTCATTTAGTAAAGATGGAAACTGAACTTGAGGCAATAGTATCTCCTTAATTTTATCATTGTTTCTTAATCTATACAGTCTGTTCCATAATTTAAATTCTTCGTCTGATAAAAACCAATCTTTCCTTGAGTTACTTTGTCTCATTCCTATAAGGTAAAAAAAATAATTGAAAGAGGTCCCTTTCAGATCTGACACAGAGACGTTCTAAGACTTTTGAAAAAGGAAGGTACTCTAATCTCCTAATCATTTAAAATAAGTTCAGACCGCTAAGACCAGATAAATGATATAATAATGTATAGAAGACTTACGTATAGAATGTACAGAACACACATATATACACATACATACATAACACACACACACACACACAACACAATCTTGGCAAGATGAATCACTGAAACTTGAAAAATCAAGGAGAATGGGAGGGGGGAAAAGAACAGAAACATGACGATGAGTTAATATTACCTCAATTTGTAAAAAGAACAGTCTCCAAAATTTTACCAAAGATATTTGCCTTCAATCCCTCATAACATTTTAGAAACAATTATTAAACATAAGATTAATTAGCATTTCTAAAAATTATAGTGATCACCACTACAAATAATTAACCCAACTTAATCAAGTTTTGATGCTATTATTCAAATGACATACTATATTTCCACTTTAACTACAAATCTGGCAAAGTCTTGTAAAATGACAGGTATATTCCTATTAAGTGGATTTGTATCAGCTTTAATAGGATATCCAAAAAGCATTGTTTTGTGCCTCTGAGTTAAGGGAATGAACATTAACAAATTTAAGTGAGTCCAAAGCAGGAGACTGGGAGGGTAAGAACCTTAAAACTTCCTGATATGAAAACTAGTGGCACAAACAGTTGAACAAACTTGAGAAGCATGGTCTTCAAATATATAAATAACTGTGCTACATAGGTCAACCAAGGATGAAAACTGTGCTTTTTATCTAGAAGACAAAACTAGATTGATGGGAAAAAGGTACAAAGAAACAAATTCTTCAACAATGGAATGAACCCTCATAAAGGAATATAATTTCTATTTAAAGTTGTAAACAGATTTTTATATATTTTCCTATAAATTTATAGTTTTGCTGTTTACATTTGCCTCCTTAATCTAACTGGGGTTTTTTCCCCCCAGGGATGAGAACTTTTTTCCCAATGTATTGGTATCATCTAAATAGTGTGCTCTTGGGGCCGGCCCGGTGGTGCACTGGATAAGTGCGCCGCTTGGGAAGCGCGGCGGCGCTCCCGCCCGAGGGTTCGGATCCCACATACAGACCGGTTCCCGCTCACTGGCTGAGCGAGGCGCGGGAGCAACACCGAGGGTTGCAGTCCTGTTGCCGGTCCCCGGTCGGGTATGGGGGCAACACTGAGGGTTGCGATCCGTTGCCGGACACGGAAAAAGAGAAAAAAAAAAAAAAAAAAAATTTCTATTCACAGAGATATTCAGGTCAAGACTGAATATGTATTTAACAAAAATCCTGCAGGAAGCATTCCTACTCTGACAGGTAATGGGACCAGATGACCCCCAAGCTTCCTTCCAAATCTTAAAATATAATTAAATGATTCTTTAAAGGCCCTCCTTAAAAATCGAGTAGAACCCACAAAATAAACTTTCTTCTCATTTTCATAGTGCAAATATTTCAAGATATTTTCTTGGTATCACCAAAGTCTCTGCAATTCTTAAGCTAGCAACACTCTATTACTAACTATGCTCCTGGCACCGAAGTATTTGTTTCTCACTGTCTAAATATTACCAATAACTTTGTCTAAATTTGCCACTATCTAGTGTAAGGGTAAATTTTAAAAAAAAACAAAAAACTTTTTTTCCGGGGCCGGCCCGGTGGCGCACTGCTACAGTGCGCCGCTTGGGAGCGCGGCGGCACTCCCGCCGAGGGTTCAGATCCCACGTACAGACCGGCCGCTCACTGGCTGAGCGAGGTGCGGGCGCAACACCGAGGGTTGCAATCCCGGTGCCGGTTCCGGTACGGGCGCGACACTGAGGGTTGCGATCCGTTGCCGGTCACGAAAAAAGACAAAAAGGAAAAAAAGAAAAAAAAAACAAAAAACTTTTTTTCCTTTGTGAATAGGCAAAGAGACCTTTCCCCATCCCTTTCTTAGAGCACTTCCAGAGAATCCTAATGTTTGTAAATCCTTCTTTTAACCCTTTGATAAGTATGTGAATCCTTGAAAAGGCTAAATAAACCTCTACCCAGCTTTTCAAAGCAGAAATATTTTTCTTATAGGTTTAGGAGCTACCTCTTTGAAATATAAACATTAAGAAAGATAGTGTCACTATCTCCCAAACACCATGGGAGTTTAGCTTAGGCACCTTTCTCAGAGCTGTCAATATCTGCTTGTCACAGAGATGAGAAGTTTCACTATGTGTTTGGATAAAGGCAGTAAGCTAACACAAAAGGTTGCCAGGTAAATTTGTGATGAACTATGAAAGAATGTATGAGAAATGGTGTTGATCTCTTAAATAAGGACGAGTTAGTGCTAATCTTGAGAAAACGTGTAAGTAAAGGACTGTAACTCCTTGGAAGTACATAAATACATATTTTTGGGAAAGAATTTCTGTCTTTGCATTATCTTAGCAAATTGTCTACAACACACACTGTAATCTGGTTTAATGCTTATTCAATAATAAAGCTGTTTTCTTTCTTTTCTATACTTTGTGGAGAGGATTCTCTGGGTTAAGATATTTTTAACTTTTTAAAACACTGAGTTTCCATCACTCTGTACTCTCCTTCCCTTTGTCCCATAAACAATCTCTTATCTTTTCCAAAGAGAATGCTTATAACATGTTACAATGTACATTGAGTTTTTCAAAGAAGAAATATTAAGATGTGACCTGCTAACTAAGGACAGAAAAAAAATACGTGTGTCAAAGGGAAAAATTTTTATTTACCATCCCTACAGGAAAAGATAGATGACTTTCGCTGCAAGATCCAAGAAGGCTTCTCCGGTTCATAGACACCATGTGTAATGAACATTTTGTGTAATTCTGGATTGATTCCATCAGGAACCATTCGTGGACTTCCTTGGTAAAAATGAAGAACCTGTCTGTTACCTGAAATAGCTCTATAAATGTTTCTTTTGTTGAACTGACTCTGATTATAAGTCTGCAATGCAAACATAAAATGTCAAATTATATTATTTCATAATAATTATTAAGCTATAACAAGCAATTATTATATTAGTTTGGGTTTATTATAAACATAAAATAAAACCTTGATCCACTCAAATACTTAGAGAATAGATTTTCTGTTGTCTTCAACTTAATTTAATTTTTTTTTGTCCTTTTTTGAGACTGGCTGCACCGCGCTCAGCCAGTGAGTGCTGTGAGCGCACCGGTCATCCCTATATAGGATCCGAACCCGCGGCGGGAGCGCTGCTGCGCTCCCAGCGCCGCACTCTCATGAGTGCTCCACGGCTCGGCCCAAATGTTTTTTTTTTTTAAAGACGGCCGGTAAGGGGATCTTAACCCTTGACTTGGTGTTATCAGCACCACGCTCTCCCAAGTGAGCTAACTGGCCATCCCTATATGGGATCCGAACCCGGGGCCTTGGTGTTATCAGTACCGCACTCTCCTGAGTGAGCCACGGGCCGGCCCCTGTCTTTAATTTTAAAACATGTCATGGGCCGGCCCGGTGGCGCACTGCTACAGTGCGCCGCTTGGGAGCGCAGCGGCGCTCCCGCCGAGGGTTCGGATCCCACATGCAGACCGGTTCCCACTCACTGGCTGAGCGAGGTGTGGGCGCAACACCGAGGGTTGCGGTCCCCTTGCCGGTCCCGGTCCGGTACAGGCGCAACACTGAGGGTTGCGATCCGTTGCCGGACACGATAAAGGACAAAAAAGGGGAAAAAAAAAAAATCATGTCAGTAAACTGTTAGATTAACCCTTGATGAAAATCATTTCAAATTCTATTATAAAAGATGTTGACAGGATTAAATAAGATAATGAATCTGAAGTACTCAGAACACTGCATAGCACAGAGTAAGTCCTCAATAAATGCAAGCCATTATTACTATTTTACAGATAAGAAAACTATAACACCTGAATACAGAGGTTAAGTGACTTGGCTAGGTAATACAATCCACTAGAATCCAATTCCACTCATTGATAATACATGGCCTTTTACAGGTTACAAAACATTAGGTTTATTAGGATCATTTTATGGATAAACTGGATGGTACATAGGAATATGCTATAATCACATGAAAAGAATTCATTTTTCAGGATGATTTTAAAGGATATATAAAACATTTTAAATTAACTTTTAAAAACTATCATAGCTGATGAGAAAACCTTTAATGTGAAACTACATATCTGTGCATTGAACTTGTCCCAATGAGTTACAAAACACAGTTAATACGTTAATATAACAAACACAAAATAATATGTATAACTTATTTAGGAAGGCCTATCACCCAAAAGTGTAGCAAATTATGATGTAATTCAAGTTCCTTATTGTGGAGGCTACTAAAATTTATAAAGCAAATGTATTTCACAGGGCCTAGCTTCCAAAGCCCTGTAGTTTCAGGTATAACCTAACTTTTTAAAATTACATATAAAAATGTTAAGCTCGCAAAGGACAGGAAACTTTCCCCAGGTTAAAGTCTCTGTTGTAGATAAAGAACTGTAACACAGCAAAATTGCTGGCTCAAAGGACAGGTGTCCTTGGTGCAGGTTAACCTACTGATTGATATGTTGAGAAAGTTACTTGATTGTTATGTAAACATACTGAGGAAATTGCCATAGGAAAAGAAAGAGTTTGCTAAGAACAAGCTTTTGTTGGTGGATCACTTAACCTTTTGCAAATTGCATTATGGAATGTCACTTTGTTTATTTCACTGATGTTACTAGTTTCCATTGTTGAAACTATTCTTAGCCATAACTCTGCCCATGTCCTTGTGTTCTTTGTAATGATTAAATCAACTGAATTTTCTTGTGAAACTTCCTTGTCTTTACAATAAAAGGGAGAAGCTAACTTTGAATTGGGGCTGTCACATTCAATTTTCTCCTCCTAATGGGGAAATTATTGAAGTGCAGTCCTTCCAGGCCTCTCAATGCAAACACAGTGCTTTAAGTAATTGCATAATTCTTTTTTATGTCTCCGTTACACAGGAGGAAGTGTAACACCTTATAACTAAGACTAGGCATCAGAAAACTTCTATAAAGGGCCAGAAAGTAAATATTTTAAGTTTTACAGGCCACAAACAGTCTCTGGTTTTTATTTAGTTAGTTAGTTACTTTGGAAACCCATTAAAGTGTAAAAACCATTCTTAGTTCACCATAATTGAAAAAACTAAACAAAACACAAAAAAAACAGGCCTGAGAAGCACAGGGAAATGGTAAAACAAAGTAACACATACTGGTTTTTGTATCTAGGTGTCTCTGAATTAATCTTGAAGTATAAAATGTGTTTCTTTATATGAATAAAAATTAGGAAACTGAATTCAGTCAAAAATTCCCTTAATTAAGAAAAGAATAGTCAGAATCTAATACAAGGGGGAAAAAAATAAACCACAATTACCTATGGATTGTTTGGACTTTGAATGCTAAAATGTTGATATTTGTCCTTTGGCTGTTTTTCCTCAAATTTCAAGTGTCAAATCATGTTTCTACATGTCTACTTACACGTTCTTCTCTTCCTTCAGCAAGGATAACAACAATCCTGCCTTGACGTCTGCGGCCAGTTCTACCCATTCGTTGTACAAGACGGATTGGGCTCTTCTGGGCATCAAAACATATTATAAGATCAACTTCTCCTATATCCAAACCTTCTTCACCAACACAGGTAGAAACCAATGTGTTGTAACCACCATCACGAAACTGTTTCACTACCTAAAATAAAAATGATTTAAAACAACTAGATGTGAATGTAAGAGAATTGTAGCTCAAAGCATATTTTTCCCACTCATTCCAAAATGGTGAAATCAGATTTAAAATCAGCATCAAGGATACCACAGAATAGAGAGGGAAAAAAAAAAATATATATATATATATATATATATCTCTCACAGAATAGCAATTAAGCCAAAAGAGATTATGGTAAAATGAAAAGAGTAGCCCTAATTCCTTTGCTTTAATGATGACTATGATACCAAAAGGATTTGTCAACAATTTAACAGTTTCTCAATGAATGAGAAACCCCAGATCTTATTTTTAGCACCACTGAAAGGAGCATAGGACAGGTAAATGGCCTAGAGCAATTACTTCCATTTATCTTTTTTTTTTTTTTTTTTAAAGATGACCGGTAAGGGGATCTTAACCCTTGACTTGGTGTTGTCAGCACCACGCTCAGCCAGTGAGCGAACCGGCCATCCCTATATGGGATCCGAACCCGGGGCCTTGGTGTTATCAGCACCGCACTCTCCCGAGTGAGCCACGGGCCAGCCCCTACTTCCATTTATCATATCTTAGACCTAAATGTATAGTTAGTTGTATCTAAAGTAAAAATGTTTTACTACTCCTAGAATTCATAGCTTACCTTTTAAACTGCCATCCAGAATTTCTCTCTGATCAGTTTAATGAAACCACAACAGCATGAGAATGAGTTTACGAAAAAGTCGACGAAACATTTTGAAAAACTTCCTTAAGCCTTATAAACTTAGTTCTCAACTGCTCTGAGCCTCAGTTTCTCCATACATAGCAACACCAACGTTGCAGGTTTGTGTATGGTAGAGTGGTGGTGGTGGTAATTAAGTGAGATAACACAAAATCAAAAGGTGAATTAGCTGATAAAAACAGCTACTATGTACAAGAGTGTTCTATGAGCCAGGTACTATATTAAGTACTTTATATATTAGTTACTACTCCCTATAACCCTAAGAGGTAGACATTACTGTACTTTTATTAAAGAAACTGAAGATCTGAGAGGTTAAAACTATTTGCCTGAAGTCTTACTAATAATTGTCAGCATTTGAACTTGGGTGTTCCTGACTCCCGAAACCTATTTATTATCTTAATCCTTACACTAGTTGTACTGTTAAAAACGACAACCTTAAAAGTAGGATAATAAATATAACTTACCATGTTAGATCCTCTTTTAAACCTTTCCAGTAGCATTGGTCAGAGGATTTTCCTTCAATATGGAAAACCTCAGAGTACAGGGAGAACCAATGATCATGATTAAAAGTTAGGAATAATTCATTTCCTTTTGGAATCTGTAATGAGATTAAGCCAAGGAAAGACTGACCTAATATTACTATATATAACTTAACAAAACAGATGTCCTTTTTGTCCAGATAAAGAAAACAAAAATAGGGCTGGCTGGTTAGGTCAGTTGGTTAGAGCACAGTTTTGAAAACACCAAGGTCAAGGGTTCAGACCCCTGACCTGGTCAGTCACCAAAAAACAAAACAAAACGAAATTAACTATAAGAAAAACAAAAACAAAAAAAAAACGCTACAGTGCTGGAGATATAAAAAAAGGATCTTTTTTTTTTTCTAATCTATATAGAGGTGGTAAGTATAAAAAATTATTTAACCAAAATATTTAACAGATTAATAAAAGACATCAATTTCCTTTTTAGTTAACATGTATAAACTAAACTTATTTGCCTAGGATTGATGTTGATTGGCCATTGAATATACACTTCCATGAACCTTTTCCATGAACTCAAGATTTATGTATTCAATTGTTTATTCAACGTCTCAACTTGATGTTTAAAACAATGCTACTCAAAGTGTGGTCTGTGAACTGTATATTAGTGGTGCCAGTCCACAAAGTGTTTATTACTGGCTGACAAGATAAACACAAAAATTGAGTGTTTAGAAACTTGACAGAGTAATTTTATGTTTGCTGACTCCAGTAATTAAAAAAAATTGGACCTGAACTTTTTCATTAATTTTACTTTTCCAGTAATTCATTTTTATTGTATTGTTCAAAAGTATCAGTCTATGATGTGGGAGGAAATAAACAGGTCCTCCCCTCCACCAGTTTTAATAGTTTGAAAAGTATTAATCTCATAGGCATGTCAAAGTTAACTCATCCAAAAACCAAGCTCCTGATATTCTCACCAAAACCTGCTTTCCTGCAGTCTTATCCATCTTAGTTAAAAGCAGCTCCTTTCAGTGGCTCAGGCCAAAAACCTTGGAAAAAAATCCCTGGAGTCTGACTTCACATTCCCTTATCTCACATCCTATTCTAATTAGTCAATAAATCCTGTCAGCTTGACCTTCAAAATATATCCAGAACCCAACCATTTCCCTGCTACCACCAACTTAGTCCAAGCCACTATCATCTTCAGCTCAAACTGTGATAAGTCTTCCAACTGGTGTCCCTGCTTCTACCTGTAACCCCCTACAGTTTATTTTTAAGACAGCAACCAGTGTGATTCTTTTAAAATGTAAATCAGGCCATGACCCTCCTCTACTCTAAACTCTCCAAGGGCTTTTTCTTATTTCACTAGGAGTAAAAACCAAAGTTATTAAAATAGGACCCACAAGACCCTAAGGTACTGCCCACCTCCCCTTCCTCCCTGACTTAATCTCCTGTTTCTAAATAAGTGGTTAATTTGATTGCAACTATTGGCATGAATGCTTATTTCAGAATAAAACTGCTGTTATGAAAGCAATTATGTATAGAATAATAAAAAGGTTTTTACTCTGGCCTACATAAAAATATTATTGATATAAATATATAAATGAGTAAATGATAAAGTCAATAAAATTAATAAGGTTTCTTATGGTGCCTGACAAACTCAGGAAATAATGAGTAGGTAAAATTGAAATTGGCCAGAGACCAGGTTGGATACTGTGGGTATTTCTTTTTTCTTTCTTTTTTTTTTTTTGTCTTTTTCCGTGTCCGGCAACGGATCGCAACCCTCAGTGTTGCCCCCGTACCGGACCGGGGACCGGCAACAGGATTGCAACCCTCAGTGTTGCTCCCGTGCCTCGCTCAGCCAGTGAGCGGGAACCGGTCTGTATGTGGGATCCGAACCCTCGGGCGGGAGCGCCACCGCGCTTCCCAAGCGGCGCACTATCCAGCGCGCCACCGGGCCGGCCATACTGTGGGTATTTCAAATAATAAAAATGCATTACTCCCAAGGCAAAAATCTAGTTCATTTTTCATTCATATATAAATGCTAAGAGAAGTAATAATCACCCACTAGGTGTCTGAGCCCTATAAAGAACTTATAATCTGACTTGACGATGGGTAAAGGTGTTACCTTTACACTCTGGAAGACTGTCCCCATCATAGCCAGTCAGCTTTAAACAGACTCTTCTGAGTACAGTGAGAACTTGTAGAAAGGATATTTAGAGAATGAGGATTCTTTAGCTACTAATGTCAACAGAATCAAGAAAGGATCTGTCAAAATGAACTAGACATTAAAGAGACTCGTAATAGTCAGTGACTGCTCAGGTGTAGATCTATATAGCTAATCTGCAAAATCCTGTACAAAGTTCATAAAAATTGATAGTCTAAAAGTTCCCTCACAACATCACAGCACTTAGAAAACTTATGACCTTTTATTCGGAGTCTGGAACTAGCTTAAATACCACCGTGGTTTCCTCTGAGCATACTTTTAAAGTAAGATTTTTAAATAACTGAAAAAAGAGATAAGCTCATTATTGGTTTAGAATAAATTATTAAAGGGACTTAAATTAAATAAACAGTAAACATTTACTGAAAGCCCTACGAAGAGATCTCATTTAATACTTATAACAACCCTATGAAGAATGTTTATAGATAAGGAAAACTGAGGGGCAGGAAGTAAAGAAACTTGTAATTGGTAGAGCCAGGATTCTAACCTAGGTAGTATGATTCCAGAGCCTTTACTAGTTAACCATTACACTTTATGTTAAAAAAAAAAATTTTTTTTCAGAAAAATTAAACTGGATCTCTACCTCTCACCATATACCAAAATCAACTCAAAATGGATTGAAGACTTAAACATAAGACCTGAAACCATAAAATTACTAAAGAAAAATATAGCGGAAACACTCTAGGTAATAGGACTGGGCAAAGACTTTATGAATAAGACCCTAAAAGCACAAGCAACAAAAGAAAAAAATAAATAAAGGGGATTATATCAAACTAAAAAGCTTCTGGGGAGCAAAGGAAATAATCAACAGAACAGAAAGACAACCTACAGAATGGGAGAAAATATCTGCAAACTATACATTCAACAAGGGATTAATATCCAGAATATACAAAGAACTCAAACGACTATAAAGTAAAAAAAAATAATCATCATCATCATCCAATTTAAAAATGAGCAAAGGAGATGAATAGACACTTTTCAAAGGAAGACATACAAATGACCAACGGGTACATGAAAAAATGCTCAGCATCACTAGTCATCAGAGAAATGGAAATCAAAACCACACTGAGATATGTCATCCCAGTTAGACTGGTCATTATTTTAATAATAATAACAAATGCTGGCGAGGATGTAGGGATAGGGGAACTCTTCTACACTGTTGGTAGGACCATAAATTAGCACAGACATTATGGAAAACAGTATGGAGGTTTCTCAAATAGCTACAGATAGAGCTCCATAGGAACCAGCAATCCCACTACTGGGTTTATATCCAAATGAATGGAAATCACCAAGTTGAAGAGATACCTGCACTCCCATGTTCATTGCAGTTCTATTTACAATAGCCAAAATATTGATCCAACCTAAGTGTGCATCAGTGGATGACTGGATAAAGAAAATGTGGCATATATACGCAATGGAATACTACTCAGCCATAAAAAAGAATGAAATTCTGCCATTTGCAGCAACATGGATGATCCTGGAGAAAATTATGTTTAGTGAAATAAGCCAGACAAAGAAACAGAAATACCACATGTTCTCACTTATAACTGGCTGCTAAGAAAGAAAGAAAGGAGGGAAAGAGGGAAGGAATGAAGGAAAGAAAGAAAAGTTTACAACAATATGTCGAACTTTCAGAAGGAGCGAACGAACCTAAGGATACTAGAGATGGGGGCAGGGAGGGAGGGGGTCTGGAAAGTGTTAGGTCAGGCAAAGAGCATAAAGAAATATCACAATTTGTAAGAATGAATATGCTAATAACAAATTAAAAAAATAAAATAAAATAAATTCGCAACCACATAAAATACTTTTTATGGTTTTCTGAAATATGCTTATTATCTTTATTTACATGTTTACTATAAAATTATCAAGTAGCCAATTTACCAGTGAGTTAAAACAAACAAAAAAAGTATAAGTGCAAAGCTTATTTTCATCATCTCCAAAAATAATTACCTCCAGCTGCTCCTTCTGAGTAAAACCTTTCATGCTCTTCCCTGAGGCATGGCCAACAAAAGTCATTGCTCTAATAATTGGCTGATGCTGTAAAAGCATTTCTGCAATTTCTTGAACACTATCTCGAAATGAAGAGAAGATCATAACTCTGGTCTCATCACATTTCTTTTTAGAGGTGTTTTGAGCTATATAATAAAAAATACTTTAATTAACACTTTAAAAAAACATTTAGACAAGAACTAGTTAAAAAAGACAAGCTTGAAACTCTATACTAATGAACGATAATTCTTTCAAAAAATAATTTAAGACATCTTGAACCTTTGTGGGTTTTCTTTTTTTTTTCTTGTTTTTTCTACTACATTCTCTAGTAATTTTAATAATCTTGGCTCCCTGTTTCTCAATGGCCTTCATAAGCAGATCAAATAAGAATTAGATGAACTATTTTTGACCAGTCCTTCAGTTCAGTAATAATGTCTGTTACTCTGCTTTACCTTCTAAGACAGTCAGAAGAATAGAACTGTAGAGCTCCCACTAATTTCATATATCTTCCTTTTTTTCTGTTCACTAAAGGCACTGTATTAACTCAGGCTGTCCATTCCGTCCCTGAATCTCACTATACTTTCAAATTCTCCAAAGAAAACCACAGAATGTACCCTACAGTCACCAAAGCTGCTCCCAGTCTCTGTGCTTGGGAAGCAGTAGAATGAAATAATAAGAACATAATCTTTAGGCTGGACCATTTATTCTCTGGTTGATGGGTGACCACGACAGTTATTTAGTTTCTTTAAGCTTTTGTTTTTTCACATCTAAAATGGATTAGTGATTAAATGAAACAGTAAATGTAGAGTATATAAATTTGCACACAGTAATTAATGATTGCAAGTTGTGTGGGTTTTTTGGTTATTTGTTTAATTTTTAAGCTTGGTTGAAACTTTGACAATTCATTCTTCCTTATGATTTATATTATATTAATAATCATATGTGTGCCAGGGACTACACTATGCATTTTATTTATTTATTTTTTTTAAAAAGATGACCGGTAAGGGGATCTCAACCCTTGGCTTGGTGTTGTCAGCACCACGCTCAGCCAGTGAGCAAACCGGCCATCCCTATATAGGATCCGAACCCATGGCCTTGGTGTTATCAGCAGTGCACTCTACCGAGTGAGCCACGGGCCAGCCTATACTATGCATTTTATATGTATATATTAACTCATTTAATCTTCACAATAACCCTAAGGATTAAATGACTTAATACATAAAAAGTTAACTCACAATGCACATGCGGAAAACAAGACTTGAAGAAGCAGCTCTTGCAAGCAAAATTATTCTAAATAAACCTCTTTTGAATCATCATAGCAACAAGCCTCTGTATCTGACAAACTCCTGATGAATTGCTACTTTCATTGCAAAGCCTATCTCCTTCAACCTGCTCCAGCTTGCCTTTCTACCCTCATTCCACTGAAGGTCCTTCTACCAAAATCATCAATAATCCATATTTTCAAATTCAGTGAACTTTTAGTTCATTTTATCGCACTTAGAATTTAACAGTCTACTTTTTCCTACTGAAACAGTCTCTTCCCTCAGCTTCTCTGGCACTTCACTTACCGGGTTTCCTTCTCAGGCTCCTTGGTGGCTTTTTCTTCTCTAAACTCTAAAAGTTGGTATTCCAGACTCCATTCTGGACCCTCTTCTGTCTCTAAACTGTCTTCCTGATGATCACATCTATTCCTTAAACTTTAAATATTATGTTTATGCTGACGACTCCAAAATTTATTCATATATATATGTAAAAATTTACTTATATATATGTAAACATGTAAAAATAGCCCAGACCATTCTTCTGAGATTCAGATTCACTTATCCAATGTCTACTTGATGGGTTTGGGCCACGATCCTGAAAGACACAATCCCAAATGCCATAATCCTGAATGTTGAAATCTCAAAAGACCAAAACCCTAAATATCAAAACTCCTAATGTTTAAAATCCTGAAAATCAATTTCAAAAGATTAAAATCCTGAATGTTGAAACAGTGAAAGGTGAATTATGGGGAAGAGATTAGTATGTTTTTGTTTGGGGTGGGGTTTTTTTTTGTTGTTTTTTTCCGGGTTTTTTTCCCAACGATTTTATTTATTTTTATTATTATTTTTATTTATACATATTTATGGGGTGCAGAGTTGACTATCAGTATTTGTGTCCAGTATGTGATGATCGAATCAATATTATTAGCATGTTCATCATTACAAATCATAATTACTTTTTGTGTCCCGTACCCAATTACTCCCTATCCTGCCTTCCCCTCTCCCTTTCCTCTCTAGTAATTATAGGTATGTTCTCTCCTTCTGAAATTTCAACATTTTATTATGGTCTTTCTTTCTTCGCTTCCACTTATGAGTGAGGACATAACGGCATTTCTCTTTCTGTTCCTGGCTTATTTCACTAGACCCATACCTCTTGCCATATACCAAAATAAACTCGAAATGCATTAAAGACTTAAGTATAAGACCTGAAACTATACAACTCCTAGAAGAAAACATCGGGACTTCAGGACATAGGACTGGGTAAAGACTTTATGAATAAGACCCCGAAAACACAAGCAACAAAAGAAAAAATACACAAATTGACTTTCCTACTATTTTAAATTGTCAGCATTATTTTTTACAATTTGCGATGCTATTTATTTCATCTTTGCATCATTTCCAGTATGAGAGACATAAATTGTGTAAAGAGTTTTAGAGGCTTTTAAATTTGTTTGTGCATTTTTTTTTTTTTTTTGCAAATTTGACTACACAAAAGTGCATTATCACAACATCGGCACTGTGTGTAATATCTGTGCATGTACATGAAAACATTGAAACTTCCTGAATAAATGAAGAGATGTCCTTTCTGTATATCTGCATTTGTGAAAGATAAAATTCTTGAGTCACATATGGGTGACTGCATATGTTGTTGTGACCCATCACAGTTTTTGACCAGTTTTGTATAGAAACTTAGGCTGTCTTTCATGGTATTTCAGATGACTGCAGTTACAAAGCTGGGTGCACACATTTACCAAATACCATAGCAATATGCATTTATATATTTCTCTGTTTGACTCATTTCTTTATGAATATGCTTTGTTTGATCATAACAGTTATACCTATGCAAACGTCATTAAACACTTGAGTGTTTATGCTTGCAAAAATGTGTGTATTGGGCCGACCCTGTGGCGCACTCGGGAGAGTGCGGCGCTGGGAGCACAGCGGCGCTCCCGCCGCGGGTTCGGATCCTATGTAGGAATGGCCGGTCTGCTCAGTGGCTGAGCGTGGTGCGGCCGGTCACAAAAAAAATTTTTTTAAATGTGTGTATTATGGCTATTTTATTGTGTAAAGTGGCCTATAAAGTGTTCCATCGTGTTTTTATGTTTCTTGGATAAATCTTCTTTCAAAAATATAAGTAAATATCTTTTAAAGAATTTTTTTAAATTATTTTTTCCAGAATTATATTCCCGGAATTTTGATCTTTATTGTGATTTGGGGGACTTTAGAGATTTTGAACATTTGTGATTATGGTGTTCAGATTGTGTCTTTCAGGATTATGACTGGTACTGCTACTTGACATATCCACTTAGATGTCTCAAAAACATTTTAATATAGTTGCTCTTTCTTCTCTATGCCATTCTTTTTTTCTAAATGACATATAAAAGCTGTATATATTTATCGTGTGCAAAATGATGTTTTGGTATATGTATAAATTGTGGAATGGCTAAATCAAGCTAATTTAACATATACATTACCTCACCTACTTATCTCTATGTTGTTTTTTTTTTCTTTCTTTCTTTAAAGATGACCAGTAAAGGGATCTTAACCCTTGACCTGGTCTTGTCAGAACCACACTCTCCCAAGTGAGCCACGGGCCAGCCCTCTATGTTGTTCTTAATTTTCTTTTCACTCATATAATCATTTGCAAACATATATGCATACATACATATATACACAGCCATATGATTATTTTTTTCTCATACCCTACCCCCAATCCAAAAAATAATGCTGGCTCCAACTTCTACATATATCTACACTCTAACCACTTCTCAGCACCTCCACCAATAATGCCTCGGTGCAAGCCACTATTATCTATCATCACCCAAGACTATTACAGTAGCCTCTTACCAATGTCTACCCTCCACAAAACTACCAGAAGGATCCTTTTAAATGTAAGTCAGATCATGTCACTCCACAGCTCTAAATGTCAATGTAAGTTTCATAAAGCACAAACATTCATAGATTAAAAACCAAAACCCTGACTTGGCCTACAAGCCCTCTTGCCTATTCTCATAGGCACTCTTACCCTCATTCATATTACTTTAGCCATACTACTGGTCTGTTTATTGATCCTCAATCACACTACTGCCTGGGGGCCTCTGAATCTGCTATTCCCTCTGCCTGGAATGATTCTCTCTCAGAAATCTAGAAGGCTTGCTTCCTCATTTCCATCAGGTATAAGTTCAAATATCACTCTACAGACAGGCCTTCTCTAACCACCCTTATATAAAACAGCACTTCTCCATGACTCTTTCCTTACCTGTTTTACTTTTCCCTACCATTATATATTGTATTACTGTCTGTTTCCCCTATATTATCCTAACCTAACTTTTCTTTTTCATATAATACCTTATTCTTAACATTCCCACCATTCCCCTTGCCCTTGTCATTCTAAAATTTCTGAGCTTTTTAATATTCACTATCCAAAAATTAAGAAAATAAAATAAAATAATATTCATTATCCAGAGTAATTACAAGCCCACCTTCTCCATAAGAAGTGCTAGCACAGAATAATGAGTTGAAGTTTTGATTCTTTCAGTAACTTTGTATTGCCTTGAAGCTACTAAATATGACCTACCATTCCATGACTTGAAATGTTCAACTACCACTTCTTCTAATTTCTTTAACTTTGGATGACTATAAAAGAATTTTTTATGTTTATCTCCTGTAAAACAAAAAACAAATATTATTCTATATTTTTCCATATACAATTACATTAATGTATATTAAGTTGTCCTTTTCAAAATGCATTATGTTAAAACTTACTTTTTTCTTTTTATTTAAACTAAGTAGCATCTAGGTAGCATGTTAAGTCTTACTATAAAATAAATTAAATTTTTATGAAAATTTCTTTCTGAAATAGAACCTAAACAGAAATCATCAGTAAAATTTTAAAAATACATACTTAGTTAATAGATCCACTTTTGGTAGTTCTGAGAATTTTCACTACCAGCAACAACTACTAACATCTATCATATATTTAAAGTTTATAAACTTTAAACTTCAATATATATTAACCCTAACTTAATAAAATCATTAAGCATTTAACAGGACTGTTGTGCTACAGAAATATAAGTAATTATGATAGACGTGTGCATCAATGGAGCAAAATTTCAAAATGAACCTTGACTAAGAAAAACAATATATAATTTTAAGTAAAAAAGCAGACCTTTTTGGATAGCAGGAATACCACCTGCTGAAATACTACGTGAATGTGCAAACATGCATTCTAGATGACTATAGAGTTTCATGAAGTCCTCATTTCGGCTAAGTTCATGTTTTGCCCGTGTCATTCCTTCAGAAATTAAGAAAAGGTTTTCCAAATAAGTAAGCTTAACAGAAAAATTAAACAAACTTATTATTTATTAAAAAGAAATTAAACTTTAGCAGTGAATGCAAGTTTTTCAAATTTAAACATGAAAACCAGTAATTTTTTCCAGTTCCACATCCACATATATATTAATGAATGCCTTTCTTTCAGCAAATTTCACAAATCAAAGAAACATGGCCATTTGTTATATAATTAATCCATTGCTTTTTAAAATAAAGAATTTTTAAGTAACTCAAACTGTTTAATGTCTTTAACCAAAATAATACAAGTCATTATTTCTTTAAATATTTTCATATAATTTACCTTTAGTTCCATTCATAATTCCACAAAGGAAGAAATATAATGATCTCATTCCCATCTGCTGCAATAACTCATAACCATGATATAAACTAATACAAATAGCAAACTCTCCTTCGATTATGCCTTGGTGTATTCCCTAGAAAAACAAGCGTATGTCAAATTAAACCAGAGAAAGAAAAGCAGACACAAGCTCCATGCCCAAGTTTTTGGGCTAACAGCCAACGTAGCATTTACAATATAATCCAAATGATCACAATAATTATTCCCTTCAATACTGACTATAACTGATAGGTTCTATTGAATGTTAGGTTATAGGATGTTGCTATGGAAATGTGCCAATGTATTTTCCTTATAAAATCTCTTTGTTTTTTTTCTCTTTTTTTTTTTTTTAAAGATGACCGGTAAGGGGATCTTAACCTTTGGCTTTGTGTTGTCAGCACCACGCTCAGCCAGTGAGTGAACTGGCCATCCCTATATAGGATCTGAACCCATGGCCTTGGTGTTATCAGCACCACACTCTCCCGAGTGAGCCATGGGCCAGCCCTGGTTTTTGCTTCTTAAATTTAACAGGAAACTTACGATTTTAAAGAGAATAAGTAAATGGGAAAAACATTTATTATATACTATTTCTCTTTATAGGTAAATTATTAGCAGTATATAGATTAATTTGTTCATTCAAAACTACTTAATAATCACCTACTACACGTCAAGCACTAAGTTAGATATTTGATACAATGGAAATGGAAAATAAGTCAGATATGGACCTATCTTCATGGATCTTTCTGGCAAAAGGACAAAATATTTCATCAGACTGTTTAACACCAACATTTAATAGCAAGTATACATGCCATAATAATACCTAAAACTAGTACCAGACATGTTCTAAGCACATTACTTGTACAAATTCATTTAATCTTAACACCTTAGAGGTAGGTACTATTATGCCTATCTTATAGATGAGGAAGCTCATACAAGTGGTAAGTAGTAGAGATTAAAACTCAGGAAATTTGACCCTGAGTTTCAAATTGTGCTTTCAACCTCCATGTTCACGAAAAAATTAAATATGCATTCCTTTTACGGGAGCACATGGCAGGTGTAAACATATGATAAGATAGTTTTTTTAAAAAAGACCATTGAGAATATATTTTAATTACTTTTCTTGAGATGAAGACTACTGTTTTCTACCTTACATTTTTAGTAGCATTTAACATCAGTGATGGTCATTTAAATTTTTTCCAGAATAGCAAAAAATGCCCCCAAATGGCACCTTAATTACCTGAAAGAGTAAAACTACCTTTCTGTACAATATAAATTCTCACTATCAAGATCAAGTTCAACAGGTTTAGATTTCCTGTTTAAAATTTCAATGAACCTGTAACTCCTAGCAGAAATTAAAACACACTTTATTAAAATAATTTCACAGAAAGGGCTCCGTTAGTGGTTCCCCAGATACTACAGAATAAAGACGGCATTTCTTGATATAATATTTAAAGCTACTCTCATGTGGTCACAACCTTCATTAACTATCAAATCTGGCTTCCTCAATCCTCTACCTCAGCCAAATTGGTTTGCTCACTGTCTCTTACGTGCCTTTGTACAATTGCCTTGTTCTTTTGCACATGCATTCTCTCTCAGTTCAAAGAATGACTTAGTGCCTTTCTGTGCTTGTGAGCATTTCTTCTGAGTCTGGACCTAGCTTGATAGATATTTTCATATCCAGCTATTTTTTTCCTATGAAGATTAGAAATAAGAAGCTTGCTGTGATGCTTCCTCCAGCCTTTGGTATCAAGAATAAGACTAAATGTTCTGGGTCTAAAATTTAGTTAGAATCTACCCTCCCATGATCATGTGATTTTTAAAATAGAAATGGAGTTAAAGACCAATTCTTTAGGCTGGCCAATTGGCTCAGTTGACTAGAGCACAACCTTGTAACACCAAGGTCAAGGTTCAGATCCCTGTACTGGTCAACTCTTTATTAAAAGTTAAAAGATAAATTTATCTTAATTAAAATCATTAAATTGTATTTTTGCTAGATTTTGTCATGCTTTTATAAACTACATTAATCATATCTGAATTACTGATTAGCTAATATATACCCAGAAAATCATTATTTATATTTTATCCTGGCTCTGAATAAAATTTTATCTATCATCAAAATTTATTTTAAAATACCTACCACAATATTTGGAGATGGGTTTTTCCTAAACTGATCTCTTGCCAGAATTAGCTGGTACTTTGTTAGATTGGGGATATCCCTTTTCATCAAAACATTTCTTTGAATCAAAGAACTGGAAAATGCTTCCAAAATCTGCAAATTTAACAGAAATTTAGTTTAACGTTTTTGAAAGGCCTTTTCCAAATATAATCATTTTCTCATATTAAAATAGGCATTATATATTTAAAAGTTTGTCTTACAAGGGTTTTTTAACTAAACACAGCAAAGATAAAAATAAAACTTAAAAGTATTTGACATCTATCTTCAGATAACATCCATATGAGTGAGCATAAGCAATTATTACATCCATCTATAACTTAAGAACATATTTATTTATTTGCTTATTTTTTAACTTCTCCTTCCCTCAATCTTCCATAATTTCTTCAGTGTATTATCCTCAGTGCCTAGCAGAGAGTCTGATCATAGGTCCTCAGCAAATATTTGTAGACTGTTGAATAAACATAAGTGTTTTGAGTATATTTGACTTCATTCATTGATTCATTCTTTCAACAAATATTTATTAAGCATCTATTATGTATCAGACATTGTTCTAAATGCTGGGGATATTGTGGCTAAGACAAATGAAGTCACTGCTCTCATATAGTTTACATTCCAATGGGGGGAAGCAAGGAATAAAGAAGTGAACAAAGAAAGTAGATAATTTTGATATGATAAATGCATTTAAGAATGTGAAACACAATAATATTGTAGAGTCTTTGAGGGCAAAGAGATAACTATTAAATAAGGTAGACAAAGACATCTCTTTTTTTTTTTTTTTTCCAAAAGATGACCGGTAAGGGGATCTTAACCCTTGATTTGGTGTTGTCAGCACCACGCTCAGCCAGTGAGCGAACCGGCCATCCCTATATGGGATCTGAACCCGGGGCCTGGGTGTTATCAGCACCACACTCTCCCGAATGAGCCACGGGCCGGCCCCAAAGACATCTCTTTGAGAAGGTAATATTTGAGTTGACATGTAAATCAGGAGGTGTGTCTACCATGTGAGATTCTAAGGAGAGAACTTTCCAAAAAGAGGAAACAGCAGTCCTGAGACTGCTGAAAAAAGAGACCTCCAGATGAAGATCTACTACAGACCTATTTCAGTAATTAATTGTTTAATTTTGCCTAATTTTTATTTCCTAAAATAGGGTTAATTTAATACATTTTTCTTTCCTCCCTCCAGCTTTGCTGCTCATACTGCCTAAAGAAGCACTCAAAAAATATCAACAAAATTTAATTCCAGTTTTATGTAATTATACAAATTATAATTTTATGTTGTTATAATTTTAATCAAAATAAACTACTACTATTTAAAAGATGATTCCTGGGAAGACTGTCATATCTTAAATTAATAACACTTAGAATTTTGCTACAAACAATTTAAAAACAAAAACCAAACCATATTTCTATAAAACTTTGCTTTAAGGAGACTTACTATAGGTTAACTAATAGATGGATATTTTGGTTATCTGTTCCTATATAATCAACTACTTCAAAACAGAGTGGGTTAAAACCACCATTTTTTTTACTCATGATCCTGATTCTATGGGTAAGAATCTGGGTAGGTAACTGAGAGGGCCCAGAAGTAATGACAGTAACAATGAGCACACCTAGTGCACAGACATTGGTTTCTAAATACCATTCTTCCATAAAAGGAACAAGGACTCCTTGGAGAAATGATTGATTCAATGGCTGACACAAGAAAAATACTAGGTGAGCATAAAGTATCTTGTTGTACCAAAAAGCTAGGAAGTGCTAATTAAAAAAAAAAAAAAAAAGGTACATGTTTAAAGGATGCAGGAGCCATCTTGAAGGAGCTCCAAATGGCCAAAGCTGGCCAACAATCTGAACAACAAAATTAGTGATGATAATCTTGAATTGTAGCTCATAGAAAAAAATAAATATCCCTTAGTCTATACTGATATAAAGAATTGAATCAATAAAGTTAGAGAAGAAACAGCTCTTCATTGCAAGAGATCAAATTAACTGTTAAAGAAATGAGAGAACAAGAAACAATTACGTGAACATCACAGAAATAATTGCTGCAGGTGAGAATCATCATTGCCTGTTAAAATCAGTGGGCAAGATATGACGAGAAACAGGATATTTGCAGTCTCAAAGTAACTCCCCACTGGAACTCTCTGTACTATTTTTGCAAATTTCCTGGAAGTCTAAAATATTGCAAAATAAAATGTTAAAAATAACAAAGAACTCTGTTAGGGCACTGTACAGTTTGTCTCTCCTCCTTGATATCTGGAGCCTTGGAAGGCTGGGTGCTAGCTGAAATAGCTTGACTGAGGCCATATTCTGTGCCTTAACATGGCTAACTTGAGGTTTGTAAAACCTAACTTGGGGTTCATCACATTCTACTGGTCAAAGTCAGTCACAGGGTCAGCCTAGATTCAAGGAAAGTGGAAATGTATCCCATCTCTTAGTAGGAGTGGTAAAGAATTTGCAGCCATCTTTAATCCATGGCAATGAAGATGTAAAAATATGTTCTCCTACCATACTACTCATGAACTATAGAAAAACAATGTGTTACCTCAAATTTCTCCCACTGAAAATGACAGCTAAGCAGTTTCTCAATAGCTACAATATTGACACTTGGGCCAGATAATTCTTTGTTGTGGAGTGGCTATCCTGTCCACTGTAGGATGTTTAGCAGCTTCCTGGCGCCTATTCATCAGACACCGGTAGCACCTCTATACTCCATACCTCCTCTCTCTCTCTCCCACCCACAGTTATCACAACCAAAAACATGCCAAACATCATCAGGTAGGCAAAACTCACTTTCAGTTGAGATTTGCTGCTGTATATGGGATCAGGGAGAAAAATACGGAAAATATATTTAATTACAACTTCTGGCTAAATCGGGGTATGTATAGCTGGTGTGCTCACTTTGTGAAAATTCACTGAAGTATAAACTTATGTTTTGTGCACTTTGCTGTTTGTGTGTTGTATTTCGCTTTTAAATAATACTTTGGTAGTACACAGAAAACATAGTGCTTATTCTAAAAATTTTAATTCCAAAGAGTTTTTCAACATGTTGATTATATAAAACAAAACAATAGTATATCACCACAGCCAAATTCTGTTAGCTGAAATAATTACATTACCAGTTCCTTTATCAAAACCGTAAACCGTGATAAAAATAGCATACCTGGATATATGTCTTCTGGATGGCTGTGAGTTCTTCACCAAGGGGAACAACAAGCTTTTCAACTTGTCTTTCATGAGAGTATGGCAAAATATCCAGAGAATCTTCAGAACGAAGCTCTATCTGCCCAATTAGTAGGTTAGTAATAACCTGTTGCACAGCCTATGCAAAATCAATTAAGCATGAGTTATATTACGTGTTAAATTTCTTCAGTTTGTCACTAACATAAATAAAATAGCAGTAAGTTTTAGAAAGAAGCACTAGAAATTCAAATCATTAAGTATCAAAAAAAAAAAAAGACACGCCCATAAAGAAAGTACATCAAAAGCAGCACAATAGGTGGAAAATGCTATTGAAACATCCTCTCCCTACACAGTCCTTCAAGCCAAGCATCAGAGAAACAAAGATATTAGTAAATGTCCAACAAGTTTCTCAAATGTATTTTGGCACTTTTCAAAAGGAGTCTTTATAAAGACTCAGACAAAACAGACATTTTATATTAGCAAACTAAGTCCCCAAAACATTAAATAACACAAATGAATTTCAGAACCACAACTAGAACCCAGTTTCTTGATTCCCTGTCAAATACATTTTTCCACTGATTTTTTGTGGGAAAAACAGGAAGAAATCTTATTACTATTAAAAGACATAAATGTATCTTAGGAATACTTTACAAATTGGCTTATTAAGAGATTGAGGGCCCACAGAGCCTATAATAAAACAATCATTAATAAAATTAGTAGAATAGTTTCCTTTTAAATCAACATATATGATATGAATATATTTCTGGGGCTAAATTTCATTCACCCAAAACTTATAAAGGGACTTAATTGTAAAATTAGGGAACTGGAACAAAAACATTTGTCCTGTTGGTATAAACAACTACTGTACCAGAAGACTATAGCACTGACAGTTAAAAAGAATTAAAAAGAACAATTAAAAAGAAAGAAACAAAAAAGGGGGGGGGGGATCCTGAGAGTATTTAGAACTTAAGAATTCTTTTTTAAAAACTAGAATGCCTCTGGGCCGAGCCCGTGGCGCACTCAGGAGAGTGCGGCGCTGGGAGCGCAGCAGCGCTCCCGCTGTGGGTTCGGATCCTATATAGGGATGACGGGTGCGCTCACAGCGCTCACTGGCTGAGCACAGTGCAGCCGGTCTCAAAAAGGACAAAAAAAAAAAAAACTAGAATGCCTCATGGGCTTAGTTTCAGAGAAAAAACATTCAAAAGGACAAGAATAACATCTTAAGTCACCCTGTATTCCCAACAACTGTCACAGTTCCTAATATAACATATTATAGTTACTGGGGGTCTACATACATTCCAAATCTAGAGTATATTTATGACCATTTTATAAAATTGAGTAAGACTTTAATATTTTTAATAATTCATTCATTCAGCAAATATTTGAGTAACTCCCACGTGCCAGGCACTGAGTTAGTGATAGAGCCATGACCGAAATAGACGTAATCCTTACCTTTATGCAGCTGATAAATAAAAAGCCAAAAAAATGGTAGATTATGATAAATATTAAGAAGAACAAGATAGAGAATGCTGCCTTTTGATAGCTTAGTTAGAGTGGCTCTTTCTAAAGGATAACATTTAAGCAGAGACTTAAAGGCTGACTAAAAAACAATTAAGCATGCTTCAAGAAGGTTAGAGGGAAAACCCGGGATAGGATAGAAATTTCTGAAAATCATCAAGAATATGGACAAAGGAAAAAAGTCTTGCAGCTTGGCAGAGTTAAAAACTATTTTAGAAAGTATCAAATAGAATCTCTACCTAATACAAAAGACTATTCAGAGCTACTAAAATCGGAATGTTATGGGATAGAATCCAAAATCTGCATTTTTACTATTCTCTAATAAAGGAAACCAGAGCTCCCTGGAGAAATGTTTCGATCCATGGCTGGCACAGGAAAAATACTAAGTGAACATAAAGTATCCTGTGATGCTAGAAAGTTAGGAAGTGCTCAAAAAAAAAGTGCATGTCTAAAGGACACAGTACCATCTTGAAGGAGCTCACAAAAGCCAAAGCTGAAAAAATCAGAACAACAAAATTGATTACTATACTACTAGATTGTAGTCCGTAGAAAAAAATAAATATCCATTAGTCCATGCAGTTCATATGATTTGAATTAATAAATAAATGGGGCAGGGCGGGGGGGGGTAAGAGGTACTTCTTCATTATAGATAAATTCAAAGTAACAAATGTAAAAGAAATGAGGGAAAGAAAAAATGATTAGACAAACACCACAGAAATAATCGTTACAAGCAAGAACCACCACTGGATGCGGGGGGGGGGGGGGGGGGGGGGGGGGGGGGGGGGGGGGGGGGGGGGGGGGGGGGGGGGGGGGGGGGGGGGGGGGGGGGGGGGGGGGGGGGGGGGGTAAGAGGTACTTCTTCATTATAGATAAATTCAAAGTAACAAATGTAAAAGAAATGAGGGAAAGAAAAAATGATTAGACAAACACCACAGAAATAATCGTTACAAGCAAGAACCACCACTGGATGCTAAAACAGGATATTTACATAGTCTCAAAATATCTCCCCCACAAGATACTTACTACTCACAAACGGAAAAATAGTATTTTTACATTGAAGAAATCCAGAAAACATCATCTTAACCAAATCAAGATTAATAGCACCAGTAATAAGACAAATAAACATCATGTATTCCCTGACAAGATGTACTGAGAAAAGCACACATCTGGGATATTTATATATTTCTGGGATATTCTTGCCAAAAATTCATAACCTCGGTCCATCATAAGAAAATATCAGACAAACTCAAATTGAGGAATATTCTACAAAATAACTGGCACCTACTCTTCAAAAGCATCAAGGTCATGGAAGACTGAGAAACTGTCACAGATTTTGAAAAGAATCTCATAACATGAGACTCTAGAGTGGACTCTGGAACAGAAGAGGACATTGGTGGGAAAACTGGCAAAATTCAAATAAGATCTGCAGATTAGTTACTAGTACATTAATGTTAATTTTTTGATTTCAATCATTTTATTATGACTATATACTGTGTTAACATTAGGGGAAGCTGAATGAAGGTCATACATTGGAAAAAAAATATTTTTGCAAATATTCTGGAAGTCTAAAGTTATTTCAAAATAAAACTAAAGAAGAAAACAGTAACAATTTAAAGAAACCGTTTTACTATTAAAAAAATCTAGTACTTTTATACTTTTAACAAACAGTTTTAGCTGATTCTCATGCACACTGAATTCTGAAGAAACTCCTGCAGCCACAGAAGAAAAGCTAGGCCATGTTGTAGAAAATGTAGCACTAATGTCAAACTAGATAAATACTAGAATGGAAAGGTGATCTGACCCCATACAAAAGTTCTTATTTTCTTAAATGTTAATAAATGAAAAGACATTTTACTTACCTTTATATCACTGCCTGGCGTGGCACTAAGAGCCAAGATTCTAAAGTGATTTGTATATTTGACTAGTTCCCTTACAACCTTAGGGGAAAAAAAAGTTTTTAAATTTCATCTGTCCAATGCAAAAATAACAGTAGTTCTGTTAAACAGTTACATGCGAGGGTACTTCAAAAAGTTCACGGAAAGATCTGTATTATCGTGTAATTCTATTTATCCACAAATTTTTTGAAGTACTCTCTTATGGCCCATTATTTATTCCTTAATTGGCATATTGATGGTCTAGTGAGTGGAACTATCACTAGTCATATTATCTGAAGAGCAATTGATTTAGCACTCTACACCAATCAAGAACATATTAGGGCTTCTGCATAAAAAAAACTACAACGTCAAGGCCTAATACATAGGCAAATCAAAATATTCAGAGGGCTACTTCAAGATCAAGTGGAAGAAGAAAACAGAGTGTACTCTCCATTGCTTGGGCCACAGTTCTGCCTTACAGGTATATCCGTATGTACACTTGACAGATTAAGGTAAACCATGACAGATAAAAATAGGGAAGAAAAACTTAAACAGCAATATAAAATTAGATTTGAAAAGAAAAAAAAATTTAGGAAAGACTTTAAAGAAAATAGGTTTTATATGGGAGGCTCACTTTTTAAATTAAGGTTTTTTATAAAACAATGAAGTAATTTGAGGTCATTTTTAAAATCAAACTTTCCTTTTAAATCCTAAAACCTTTCCTCGGTGATACCAAAGCACCATTCTACCTTCTGTAGTTTGAACTCAACACCCACTTGTAGTAGATTAGTACTGGATAACTTGCCAGATTCCCATATGCCCCTTCCAGTGAGGCCCCAATACAAAGGAAAAAGGACTCCCAAGTAAACAGTTGCAGGAACAGCTCTCAGTATCCCATAACTCCTACTTTAGATAGGGAATTAAACAATAAAACCAAACCATCCAAAAATCATCCAATTTCAACCCAAGTCAGAGATAAATTCAATGAGACTAATACTGAATCTTGATTAATACTCAAAAAATTTTATTTATGAAGTTTTTTTAACATGATACAGATTGCATATGAAGACATTATAATTAACAGAGACTTAAGTAGAATTATTCTAATTAAAAACTGATGTAAGACAAAATATTCCTAGTGAGGATTTCCATTTTAGTTTAGTGCTAGAAGTGATGCCATAATATGTCATAGAAGGATTTTAAAAAGTCATAAACACAGCAAAAAAAACTAAAAAGAACACTTATTGGATTGGTACTTTTAAAAATCTTTTTCGTATGATAGCCAGAATTCAAAGTTTTCTATCAGATTGTGAAGCAGTTTGGGGAGTTCTGAGTGAAATCACTTTATTGGTATATGCCTACCAGAACTGTTGTTTCTACCAGAGTTGTTACACATGAAAAGTGAGCCAAATACTGTTACTTCTTTTCAGGAGGGATTCTCAAGCATTTTGTAGAAGAGAAAATGTGTTACAACGGTGTTTGTAACCCAGGAAGCTACATGCTTCATGGAGCTGATGGGCCTATTCGAACATATATGTGAAATATTCAATGTAGTGTAAACTCTCAGAGCAGTTTGGTTATTAATGAAATCAATGTACATTTAATTGTAAGCTTTGCAGCAAAAAAAAAAAAAAAATCATCTAATGCCTAGAAATTTTTTAAAATAAAACAAATGAGTTAAATATAAGCTAAATTTACAAAATGAATTCCATAAAGTTAAAATAACAATTTTTATTTTTTCATTTTTATTTTTTTGGGCAGCTGGCTGGTAAGGAGATCAGAACCTTTGACCTTGGTGTTATAACACTGCTCTCTAACCAACTAAGTGGCCAGCCATAGAATAAAAATTTTTAAATTCCCCTCTCAAGCATAATTCTTAACACACTGTGTAGTAACCTGGAAGGATAAGAACAAATGGAAAGATTTATCTATTTCCTGAAACAGTTAAGATCAACTATAAGAAAGATGACAATTCTCCCTAAAATGATAAAGAAATATGGTACAGTAACACAAAGTCCCCAAGGAAACTAAAAATTTACAAACTGGAAGTAAAATTGATGTCTTTACCTTCTTTTTCCCTCTTCTATTCTTACTTATACTCTATACTCTATTCCTAATATCACCAGCTATTATAGTTTTAACTACCATCCATATGTTGATGATTTCCAAATCTGTATCTCCAGCTCAGCACTCTCCACTGAGATCCGTTCTTCTATCACCTACTGCCTAATGGATACGGACAATTGGATTCCTCATAGACACCTCAAACTCAACATATTCAGGTTTAAAAAAAAAAAAGAAAGAAAAGACAGCAGAGACACTGATTTGAATGGAAGAAGGAAAGTATTTCCCATCACCATCTGTTCTGAGATAATAGATGTTAAAGGTTTTTTACAATAATATCATCAATAACTTCCTCACTAATAACTATTCCCCAAAATACCCTTTTAAACAATATGTTTACACTACAAAATACCATTTAACAAAATTATTACCTGGCAATAAGCATAGTTTCCAAGAGCTTTATGAGCTTCATCAATAACTAGACACTTTATTTCAGCAGCGGGACAAGCTCCTCTAGAAAGGTCATTTACCATGACCTGAGGTGTAAGAAAAAGAACTCTCTTCCTGCACCATATTTCCTTCCTGGTGAAAACTTGAGTAGACCCTGTAAACAGAAGTGACATTCTATATTCTAAACTTCAAACTATTACCTGTAAAATATAAATAGTCTGGCCTATTTTTAGAATGCATAAATGCTTTGGTAATCTGCTTAAGAGAACAATTTGACAATTCATTGGAATGCTGCATTTTAAAGCTCTTATGTGGTCCAAATGTCAAAGCTGGCCCTTATTTAAGACCACAACTCGATTGTCTTTAGAGAATTCCAACAAAATGGTGTAATATTTGAAGAGAAGCTAATTCGTCAATTGGGAAATCCCTCTTGGAAAGAATATCAAGAAACATCATGTTCAGTTACCCATGGGGTATACGCATATAATCGCTTCAAAATACTCTGAGAAACTACAGGGATTCTCTGAATATCGAATAAAGCACCCCTATTCATCAGAGTTGGACTTACTACAAGTACATGATGTTTTAAGGAAGGGGATGTAAGATGAGCGTATTTTGGTTTGGGAACTATTCCACATGGTTCAGGAATTCCTTTAGCTCTGTTTCCACCAGAACGCACGCTTTCCCCGGGGCACCCAGCTCTTCATTTCAAATTAGCCCATTCTTTCTAAAATACCTGTCATTTCGGCCATGTGGGACTGCGGGATACCCATCACCTGGTAGCAAGCCTCGATCTGCTGTGTCACCAAGGGTTTCGTGGGGGCCATAAAGACCACCTTGCCGGAAGGGAACCAGCGGTAGAAATTGTACATCACCACGGCGGCAATAAAGGTCTTTCCCAGCCCGGTTGGCAGACACACCAGCGTGTTGCAGAACAAAGCGGTCCGGGAGATGTGCAATTGGTAGTCCCGCACTGGGCAATTGGTCGGGTAAATCCACAGGGCGCCCGCTGAGGTGCAGAACCCGCCATTCTCGAGTCCCAGTTGCCGTTCAGCCTCGTACACCGCGACCAGCAACACATCATCGTCCGACTCCGCCTGAGCCTCCGCCGCTGCAGGCAAACCCGCTTTGGAGCTGCCAGGGCTCTGCGGCCGCTCAGTTCCAGAGCCGCAACCCCGTGCCCCAGCAGATCGAGAGACACTTGAGCCCCACGTCTGGAAAAGCGTTCTTTGCCGTCCGCTCATTAGGCCGACGACCACCAAAAGATTCGCTCAGATGCGGGCAGCTGCAGCAGCTCAACCGCCACGGCTCCGAACTCCATCGGTTTCCTTCCCATAAAACTGTGGAACGAAAGGGCGGGACTACAGCCAGTTTATCCACTTGAAAATGCCGCCTCTTAGTTTGCATTGGGAATATGATTGGCTGCTTCCCGGAAATCCTCGTGGGCCTCCCGGAGACGCATGCGCATTGTTAAGGAGTTACTCTAAATTTGTTCCCCTTTGTTTTTTGTTGCTGTTTTTTCAGACTCTAAATTTGAGTTCCATTTCCAATGATTAGATGCCTGGGTGTCATTACTAATGTGATCTCACTTAAAATGATAATCTTGAGATCCCGGGAACAATGGAATACCCATAATTTTGTGAACTCAACGTTATTGAGCGTCTAAAGCGCCTTATTCCGTGTTAGTTATATTTTTAAATCAGAAGATGAGGCGAAAAAGCAAAAGTGTGTAGATAGAATTAAGTAATCTCATTCCTCTAGGCCGAGAAAACAAAATGCCAAGTCTCTTTTTCACCGCGTTAGGGGTGGCAATCCGCTATTTTAATATTTTTATTGTTTAAAGGGAAGTGAATGTGGTCTGGTCCCACTATTCATTTTTTTTTAAGCGAGACGTCCTGATGTTCCACCATTACATCTTTATTACAGATAAGAGCAGAAAGAGAAGGTGTGGCAATCATTCCATTCTATCGATGGCTTTCTACCACAGAGTTGGATACAATTCCCAGCTTCTCCACTCTAAACCTGACGACTTTGAGTAATCTCTGTACAGTTACAAACACATCATGGAGTTGTTATGAGCATTAATAATGCCATCCTCATCACCATCAGTAAGTGGTATTCTGAGTGCAGCTTCTTTACATTGTTTCATTTGTTTAAGTTTCTGAACTTGATTTAGACGAATTGTTTCTCGTGTTTGTAGGGAGGTGGGGTGGGAGAGCAGTTCGTATTTAAGTTTCCTAAGTGTGAGCTTTAAGAGGGAGATGGTGGGATATCGGTTGTTCTGATGAGAAAGGACTAAGCCAGTTCAGGTGTGAATTTTTAGGCTAGAACTAGATAATATGAGATTAGGAGTCTGAATGCTGTTGTTTTCTTTGAACAGGTTATAGAACGGACTTCTAAAGCATAGTAGCCCGTAAGTGATAAGTGTGGGTGATGGCTGGCAAATACCACTACCATCAGGTCGCCTCACAAGGGGTCCAGCTAAGAGTAAACTGCCACTAGAACTCTTTTATGCAGTCTTCGCCGCGGCCACCTCCGCAGGGTTTTTCACCCGGACTCAACAAAGAAGCCCTCATACCACGGCCTTGACGTCACTCAAGGACAGGCCCCAATCCCGCCTGGTAGCTCCGTGACCCCGCCCCTCGAGCGACTCGCGGAATCCACGCCACGCCCCAGGGGCGGGGCGACGCCGAACTGAGGCGGGCTGGCTCAGTAAAGCAGAGGCAGCGGGGGAAGATGGCGGCGGCCGTTCCACAGCGGGCGTGGACCGTGGAGCAGCTGCGCAGCGAACAGCTGCCCAAGAAAGACATTATCAAGTTTCTGCAGGACCACGGTTCAGATTCGGTACCAGAGGTGGCGGGGCGGCCGGGCTGGTGCGGCTGAGGGACGCCTCACCCCCCCGGAGATGCCCATACATCCCATATCCCTCTGTGCCCCCGCCCTCGTCCTCTCGCGGCCACGGGCCGGGAAGGCCGGAGCGGCCCCGCGTGCGCTCTGCAGCCACGCTCCCGCCCCTCGGGCCGGCCCTACTCTCGCGGGGATGGGGAGCAAACCTTATCTCCTGGGGAGTGCGGACCGCGATCGCGCGGTTAGAACCTAGTTGAAATCATTGAGTGGGGGTAGAGGCCGTGAGAAGAGGAACCCGGAGATATTGGGGGCCGAAGCGGGGGGCCGAGGAACAGGGCTTGGATGAGATTCCGGGAGCCCAGTGCAGGCTACTAAGGACATGGGAGGGGATATAAAGATTTCTTTGGGAATGGTGTGTACACCTTGCTTTTTTCAGCAGTTTTCAAAACATGGAACGTGAATGCATGTGTTTTTTTAAAAAACCCGTAGATAGCGGTTTAACTTTTTTGTCAAAATAGCGACCTTTCTTTAAATGATCTTTTCACCTCTATACTTGGGGGGGTTAACTTGCCCATTTTTTCTTGTATAGTCTATTCCCATTGTAATAAACAATCAGACTAAGACATTTATTTGGCATACTTCATATCGTACGCCTTTCGTTTTTCAGTATAGTCTCCATCTTAACCAACCGTGTGTAGTCACAGGTTGTTTTTGTCAGACCTGACTTTTTTGTCCTTCGGAAAATAAGATCATTCATACCTCTCAAATTACTGAGCTACTGTACATGTTGTTGTGCATGCAGCGTCCTCCACTTAATCAGAAGTAACAGCAGCAGCCCACATGTGTTTTCTACAATCTTTTAAATTCTAATCTTGCATTTAGAAAAATTGTTTCTGGGTTCTATTGAGGGGATAGTATTTTATTTTCCTTTTGAGGAATCTGAAAGGGGAGATAGCAGAACTCTCCAACTTCCAGTTCCTTGTTCGTGAATAATTATCCTGCCATTAGCATCTTAGATCAACTCAGCAAATATTTATACAGCACGTATAGCAGAACTATTCTCAGAGTTTGGGGATTCAAGGGTGAGAAAGAACGACCGTGCACCAGGGATTTTATACCATTTTAATGGAATTATTTTCTCTTAAGCCAATTAGTACTTCATCTGAAACGGTGGAATAGTGTAACTGAGGCATTTAATGATCATCATCATCATCAAATTCAAAGTCCACTGGGGACTCTAATATAAAACTGGTGCACACAGGACACTTTGAAGAGACTTGGATTATCAAAATATTTTTATAACACATTAATCTTAAATGCATATTCTCCAGTGATCATTCACATATTTAAACCTATATTTGACAAACATTATTTTAATGATCATAAGATATGAAAGAGATCAAAGATGTTTATATTTTGGATATTTTCCTGGAATCTTGCTAAAGAAATCACAGAGTGCTAAAGTAACTGATTACTTCTAACAGCTCTATCTCCTTTCCCCATCAGCCTTTATCATTTTGAACTTTTCTCTTAGGAGAGAGAAAAAACAAAGAAAAGAAATACATTAGTGATAGTATTAGAAAAACTGCTTTATCAAAAGCTTAGAAGGTGCTGAAAGACAACTGAGATAGTCGCAAAATGAGGAATAGAGCAAGGACCACAAGGTAGAAAAGGAAGCAGAATAAAATAAGAGGGAAACAAGTTTTTAAAATTCTCACATTACATGATTTTGAGATGAAGATATTATGACTTGATATTTCAGTAGTAGTATTGTTTTTCGTCTGCCAACTTAGCAGTCTTATATTTGAGAGAAAAGGAATTCTGTTATCTTGAGTTATTTAATACATTATTTTATAATCATAATAGCTAATATTAAGTTCTTACAATGTGACAGGCTCTATGCTAAATGCATTAAATGAAGGGCAGGCCAGTGGCTCACTCAGGAGAGTGTGGTGCTGATAACACCAAGGCCGCGTGTTCGGATCCTATATAGGGATGGCCGGTTCGCTCACTGGCTGAGCATGGTGCTGACAACACCAAGTCAAGGGTTAAGATCCCCTTACCGGTCATCTTTTTAAAAAAATAATAAATAAATAAATAAGTGCATTAAATGTGTTTTTGCATTTTATACTTAGAGCAACCCTTTAACATAGACGCTTTTATTAATCATTCGCTACAGATATGGAAACAGACTTTAGAAAACCTTAGTCCCTTGTCTGTGGCCAGACAGCTAGAATTTTAACCCAGATAATATGACTCTACAGCCCATAGACTCATATAATATGAGTGTACTTCAACAAGTTCATGGAAGAGAGAAATTGAAAGATTGTACTAATCTTTCCATGAACTTTTTGAAGTAATCTTGTATGTGTCATGTTGGGCAAAGCTATCTTGACATATCTGTAACCCACCCTTGGAAGACTGGGAAGCACAGTGCTACAGATTTGTCAAGGTATCTATGCCCAACAAGGCTGGAGGCTCCCATACCAGGGCCAAGTAGCTTTCTGCTATACGGTCACTGCAATATGCTTGCTGTGTAAATGTTCTTTTCAGTGAGTTCTGTGATGGGAAAATGGTTAGAACAAACCACTGTGTCCATATATAATGCTACAGTTCCAGTCTTGTGAATAATTCTTATAAAAACCCAGTATTTTTTCATCTTAATTTTTTTTGTAATGAAGTAAGGTATAAAGGATATAAAAATACAGTGTTTATTTTATTTCTTCTTCATTAGTACTATTGAAAACATAGCTGCTGACATAAAAAAGGTAGTTTTCTATGTTTAATGTTTAGGACCTTTTTACTTGAGAAGAATTATTTTTACTACCCAGCTTTTTTCTTTATAGTTTCTTGCAGAACATAAATTATTAGGAAACATTAAAAATGTGGCCAAGACAGCGAACAAGGACCACTTGGTTACAGCCTACAACCATCTTTTTGAAAGTAAGGTGAGTACTGTTACATTGTATTAGAAGAATATCATTTTAGAAATTTTATCCAAAAAAGGTTTAAATTCATTTATTTGAAGAATATGTTGGAATTTTTCCACCTGCAGTTTTTCTTCACTGTAATCAGAAGTGGACTAGATATCAGTTTAGCAAGGCTAATCTACAGTATGGTGGGATGTTTTGGTATTTTGAAAGGGACCAAATTTTTTAAAATAATATCCTCTTAGCTTAAACTGAAACAACAAATTCTTAAGGTCACTGAAAAGTTATAAATCCGTTAGGTTAATTGGTATTACCATATTACTTAAGCATTTACACTGCATATTAAATGTTATACAGAAAAAGTAAGTTTCATTTCATTAATGAATTTAAAGTCTGATTTAGATTTAGGCTGACTCTTTAGAAATGTGAGTTTTCAGAAATTCTCCAAAATTTGTTCACTATGAAATGACCATCTTTCACAGAAAAGAATCTTTATTAAGGAGTTGTTTGAGTAATATTTATATCTCCAAGTCTGAATTGTCCTTCTAAAGGTCATGGTTCTCAT